AATGCGCTCTGGTTGCCAAGTGCCCAAAATGCAGTCATCTGACTGTGGGGCAGTACATAACTCCAGAACTAGTCATAAATATTTTTGGTGGGGACATATTATAATTTTGACCAATTGTAAGTTGAGGACTACCAGTATGCAAGGAATAGACATAAAACTATATAAGGGTGCTGTGTCTACCATAACACCACCCATCTCAGCCTACAACAGGGGAAGATTACACTGTTGTAAAAGGCAGAGAAACATCCAATGAAAGCCCCACCACACATCCAATAAAATAACCATGTGTCCACGAAATGAGGGTTAGTGCCAATGTTGCAGATTTGATGTGATGCAGTGGGAAAGAAGAATGCCTCTTGCTCAATCAAACTCCACCCACACACAGAGAAACCTTTTCCCATCTGAAAACAGAATCTGCCAGGTGTTACTGCATTTTCGAGTACGGAATTCTGCATTGGAAATCTGAGCATAAAGCAAAGACAAATTACTGAGATGCAAGCTCAAAATAAGGAGTACTTTTTGACTATGAGAGCTATGAAGCAGTGGGACAGGTGCATATGAGCACAAAAACTCTGTAAGATCTTCCCTTCACTATCTGCTACTAACTTCTGTGTTGCCAGCAGTGTGAATTCAGCTCTAAGGTGCACCTTCTCTTTGCATCTGATGAAGCAATCTGATATTGCTGGCTCAGGAATCAAGAAGATTGAGAATATGAGAATTTGTCTCACCCAAGCAGCATTAAAAGCTTGTCTGACAAATCAGCTTTTATTTCCAGTGCAGGGACAGAAACCAAGTATGGCTGAAAAGTCAAGGACAGCAGTGCCTTCAAGAAGAATTCAGCACAAGCAACACCTTCCCTAACTTCCAGCCTCCTATCACCAATCCATCTTGGTTATTTGGATTCACCTTCCTCCACACTTCCCCTTCTCCCACAAACTACTTGATACAATATGGTGGCAGATCACACATTGCTTCTTCATAGTACAAAATTCCTGAATGAGATGAGAAGCGAAGCTCCAGGTTCAGCTAGCCGTTAATGTTCTATGAAGGGAAATATTGCTATGCATTCTCACATGCATGTAGGAAACAGACTATTATAAGCAAAGTGTCTTTCTTCTGAAGTTCCCTTCTGAACTTTAAAGACAGTAAACCCTTTGAGTTGGAATTGCTAAAATGCAGTGCTGATTTTCATCATAGGATACATGTGGCATATGGAATGCCCTCCATTGAAAGCAGTGATTCTTAATTATGTTGCCTTTTCCTTACTATTTAGCTAAATTTCCCTCACACTAATTTTGTGACAGACATCACACCCCAGATCTGCCATATTCAGCATGCAAAAGGTAGTGATTTGTTCTTCTATCCTATTCATACTTTGTCTTTGCTCTAACTGCTTGACCAGCACGAATATGCTGCTAAAATCACTGCCATTTTTTCAATACCTTTCTGATGACAGAGGCATAGTTAACATTCTGTTCATGCAAGGTAAGAGTTCTTCCTGTGTTCATATGAAAGCATCCAGTTTATTTGGGTTCAGTTCAAAAAAATTAAGCAGGATCAAACTGGTGAGCGCTGGATGGGAGCACAGTAGGAAAGTTCAGTGACTGAGAAGAAGGGAAGGGGAAACCACTTCCAACTCTTTCAAGAAAAGTTATCCAAGTAAGTCTTCAGCACCTTAACTGGAGCAGAGTCAGATTAACTATAGTGTAAGGTTGGAGCCTTACTTGTCCTTTCCATCACAGTTTTTTTTTCCTCCCTACAGTAATTTATTCATTTGCTACTGGCTGAAATGTTCTTGATCATCTAAGATATGCTCTGAAGAAAAATTACTTCAGGAGGCACAGCAGCTAACAGACAAGGATCCTGCTTTAATGCAGCCATTTGAATTCCAGCCATGATTCACTAGTGGTCACAGTAAACATTCTTTCTTCTCAATCAGATACAAGGCTAGTTAGGAACCTGGAGATTTAATAGAATAAAGAATAAGATCTCAGAAAATGGGGCATTCTTTCACTGAGAACATTTCTGTGCAACCATGAATCAAAGGCAGGCTGGTTTTGTTTGATAAATGAGGTCACCCTGATTTAAAAAGGGGGTGAGGGAGCGATTTATTTCAACCCAGAGAAAGCATGCAGCAATTATTTGTACTTTACCAAATTAAAAGTCTATTATTTTCTAGCAATTTTATTCTCACCCTATTTTTCTTAAGAAGCATAACAAGCACAAATTGCAGTATGTTTTTCTAATTGCTATTATATAAAAAGCTGTAATTAATGTCTAAATTAAAAGCATGTTGACTGGTTAATTATTCAACCTCGTATTATCATACGATCATAGTAAAGCCACACACCTGTCATGACATTTGGTCATCAGTAAAATCCTTTAGAATGAACAAATCAAGAGCTGTTTTTTAAGACTGATTATTTATACCGTAAAAGTAAGGCTCACTCCATATTTGGATAAAAGAAACAGGACTTTTAAGCTTGAAAAAGATTTTGGTTGCAGGGCAATACATTGCTTAGCATTATTTCCGTGGGGAAAATAAGTAATTGCTTTACCCATCTTGCTTCCAGGTTTAATTCAAGGTGTTGGTTATTACCTTTAAAGCCCTCTATGGCATGGTCCAGGTCACCTAAGGAATCATCTCAACCCAATGGGATTGGCCCATCCCATTTGCTCTGGGAGAAGGAGCATGCTCTGGATCCCATTGGCCAAAGAATTGTGGTTGACAGTGGCTCCCATCTTTTGGAATATCATGACCCCCAAGGTGGGATCTGCCCCCCCACCTTCCAAAGAGCCAGAAAATCCGGCTCAGCTAACTGGCTTGGGACCCTGATGAGGAAATCTCATTTTGGAGGTGGCTAGTAGATTAGTAGAAGGTCAAACTTCCACCTAAATATGCATTGCTTTTTATTTACTTTAATGTTTTAACTTTTAATGCCCCATATTTTAATGTTTTAGTCATTGTTTTATTTTGTTATCTATGGAAGTTGCCCAGAGTCATTTGATAGTGAGACGGTAGCATACAAATTTAATAACTACAAATTATATAATAAAATTTTTAAAAAATGCTTTGGCAGCAATATCCTGATCCAAATCATTGTTGGGAGGGACCATAGTAGTCTAATCCATCCACTGCAGGAATCCCTCACATCATCCTGGAGTCTAGCTAACCTTTTTCTAAAATAATTCCGATGATGGAGCTTTCAGTGACTCCAGGATGCACCTGTCCTGCTGTTTCATAGATTACTCCTTATTTTGAGTTTGCATCTCACTAATTGGTCTTTGCTTTATGCTAAAACACTACAGAGAGTAAATTTACACCCTCTTCCCTGCAACAGTTCTTCAGATTTGGAAGATTGCTATTATGCTTCTTTTTAGCCTTCTTTTCTTTATACTAAACACTCTGTCCTTTCAATTGTCCTGAAGATTTAACATCCAAGCCTCTTAATCATCTCTATTGTTCTCCTTTTCCCTTTTTCCAGTTCAACCTCCATGCTTCTGATAATAAATTTGAGAACTTAAGTGTGGATTTTTAATATTATGGTTTATTGCAGTCAGCCAGTTGTTTAAACTGGATTTGGCATTTTTATCCACCCATCAAGTCCTTCCCAAGGACCTGGGATAGGGACATTAATTTTATTTATATCCTGCCTTTATTATTTTTTTATAAATAACTGAAGGCAGCGAATATACCTGGTACACCTCCTTCCTCTTCTTTCCCCACAAAAACAACTCTCTTAGGTGAGTTGGGCTAACAGAGAGTAACTGACCCACAGTCAGCCTACTGGCTTTCATGCCCAAGGACTAGAACTCAGTCTTCAGTTTCTAGCATGATGCCTTAATCATTAGACCAAACTGGCTCTCTATTAGTTCATATATTGTGCTAAGCCATGGCTCTTTATTTCTTTTTCCAAATGAGCAGACACAAGAAAACTCCAATGTGGAACTGCTGATAAATTCCCACATAGCTTTCAGCAACTAACAGTTATGAACACTACTATAAGCATTTAGTTGGAACAGATATACAGGACAGGAAGCCAAGCCATGTCATCTTTTCCAAGTAATTCAAAACTTTGTTATCTCTATAGAGGAAAAACCATTAAGAGTAAAACAATAATAAGCAGGGAATAGTATAAACATTCCAGAAACAAAGGATTAAGCATGGAGGATTTCAATTGCTGATACAGAAACATTTTCAGGAAATCAGTATGGGCAACTGATTATTTTTTCCACCTACTAGTCAATGGCTTTAAAAGTGGAGGCTATATTGGGATTGAGTGGATTTCTAAAGGCTGCTTAACATCCTGTATACAGTTGAGAGTCCATGTCACAAAACATAACATTTATGAGCAATATACGTATGTTCCACAGAGAGAGAGAGAGAGAGAGAGATGTGGCCCTTTCCTCTAAGTATTAATGGACCATGTCTTCTCTGACTTTTTTTCCAGAAAGGCTATTATAAACTTACCTGGCTATTTAAATGCATCAAATAGGAAGCAGTTCTAACAGCATTACATACAAATCAGCTTTACAAATTATGCATAATATACATTTCCCCCAATCACAGCCTAATTAATAAATGACACATTAAACATGGTTGTTGGACTCTACCTTACTAAATCCAAACTGCATGCCTGCTTAGTATGCGTGTGAATATACTTGTGCCATGCATCTTTCATATGTTTGAGAGTATACGCAAGGCACTTAGTATCTGCAATTTGGAGTAAAATCCCTCAAATAAGAATTCCAACCTCAATCGGATAAAGTTTGAAGGACTTCCTCCCGCCGCCCCCTTTACAAAGCAAAACCCACGGAGTTTAACAGCGTGGCTCAGGGCGTACCTCTCGGAGAAACCCGATTCCCACCCAGAAGCCGATAGAAGAATAAGGCCCCATTTCTCCCCTACCCACCCACCCACCCACCCACCCATTTTGTTTCAAGAAGCGATCCACCGAGGCTGAACCCGCCAAGAAAGGGATCGACTCGGAAGGCTTTACCGAAGGCTCGTTGCCTTCCCTCTGACTCGACCCGCGCTGCGTTTGCCTGCTTTTCGATGGGGACGTGGCTCCCGCTTAGAAACCCGAACCGCCTTTTCCTTCTCTGGCTCCGCCGGCTGGACGGGTCGGAAGCGAGTCTGGAGCAGCGGGGCTACGTCGTTCCCGGCGACCACTGGTCCCGAGGGGCTCTCCCCCACCTCCGCTCGCAAAGGCGGCTCGTCGGCGTTGCCCACCAAGAGGTAGAGGAGCAGCAGGAGGGCCAGGCAGAGCGCCAGGGCCACTACTTTGCAAGAGAGCCTCATCGTCCGTCCGTCAAGGCTGCCTCAGCCCAGGCGAAGAGACGTCCCCCTCATCCTCTCGCTCCCGCGCTGGCAAATTGGATCCAGCTTGGACATTTTAAAGCCGCTCGCTCGCTCTCTCGCCGCCCGAAGCGTCGGGCGCGAAGGAGGGAGTTGGCGACGCGCAGCGCCACATTGGCCCTGCAGTTTAGCGGCCAAGCGGGGAGGGGCCGGGAAGACCCTTACCGTAAAGTTCAGAAAACCACCTCGGCTACAAAGCGGCGGGGCTGAGGGAGAGTCAAACCTAAAGCTCTGTACCGTACCAGGCACGGGTTTCATCATGCCAGGCAGCGTGCACGTGGCGGTCTGCAGCGCAGCCTCTTTTGTTTTCTCATTTATATATATAAATGCTTATAATTCTTTTAAGGTAGAAACTTATTTTGCTTTTAAAGTCTCGGCGTCGTTTAAGGAGATGTCAACCAGTGGATTTGCCCGAAACGAAGCACAGGGGATGCTTATTCTTTTTAATTGGTTCAAATCCCCGTGCAAGGAAAACCACTCAGTTAAGGATTGTTTAGGATCCAATCTAGGTGGGTCCCCGGGACCAGAAGTTTAGTCTTCCGAGCTTTCGGACTCGTGCTCCAGCACCAGTTTGGACCCAGATTGGATCCTTAATGCAATATTATCCTAGGACACGTAGCTCCGTCCTTCATTCGTTAAGGATTCTTTAATCGTGTTTTGCCCAGCTTAGGTTCTATTTATTTAAAGTTAACAAGGTAGCGTTAATACAGTAACCAATATGGCCTACATCGTTCCACAGGTTTTGTTAAAATGGTTAATAACAACCGGGCACAAAGCGAATGAAAAATAAGCTGGTCCCCCCGGGATTTTTTTTCCTCTTCATACAACCAGAACCGACGCAAAGCCGCGAGAGCTCAGATGCAGCGCACGCGCAGAACGAGAACGCCTGTATTCCTCCCGCCCTGGCGTCTGTCACGTGGGTCCTCGGCTGTCTGGATCGTTCGTGCTTCCCGCCCCCCCTCCCCCAGCGTCCATATCTCTTTCGCGCTACCTCGACCACTTTTGATTGGATGAGCTCTTCCAATGATCTTTCGATCCGCCTCCCCCCCCAAGAGCCCGCCTTCCTTTACGCTTTACGCATTCCTATTGCGGAAGAGCAATGGGATTGGCGGTAGGCTGCAGCCCGTAGGGAGCCTTATCGCCGTCAGAGAATCGGAGGGCTAGAGGCGTAGAAACAAAGCGTGAAAGCGTCTGAAGGTTCCATGGGCGGTGAGTGTTGGCGTGGGGTTCATTGGTGCCGCTCCTGTTTTCTTACTTTAATTGCTCAGCGTGTGTAGATGAAGGAATTACCGCAGAAGTGAAAGGCTGGGCAGCCCATAGAGAAAAGGGCAATTAATAGCGGTCGTCTTTCATTTTCATTCCAAATGTGCGGGAGAAGCTCAGAGTTTCCATGTATTAACTGCCTTCCTGTAAGCTGTTCGACTACAGAGCTCATCATCCGCAATCATTGGCCATGCTGGGAATCATAGGATTGAACTCCAGCATATCTGGAAGTAGAATAGAGTAAGAGTTGGAAGGGACCTTGGAGGTCTTCTAGTCCAACCCCTACTTAGGAAACCCAATACCATTTCAGACAAATGGTTGTCCAGCCTCTTCTTAAAAACTTCCAGTGTTGGAGCATTTACAACTTCTGGAGGCAACTTGTTCTAACTGTCAGGAAATTTCCCCTTAGTTCTAGGTTGCTTCTCTCCTTGATTAGTTCCCCTCCTTTGCTTCTTGTCTTGCCTTCAGGTGCTTTGGAGGATAGCGGGACTCCCTCTTCGTTGTGGCAATCTCTGAGAACACTGCTATCATGTCATCCCTACTCCTCATTAAATTAGACGTACCCAATTCCAGCAACAGTTCTTTATATATTTAGCCTCTAATCATCTTGCTCTTCTCTTCTCGAGTCTCAACATCTTTTTTAGTTGTCAGGTTGAGCAAAGGTCTGCTCAAAAAGGCATGGAAGCCACATGTGTATGTGTAAATAGGCTTACAAAAGTAATAAGGGTCCGTTTTTCATTGACTGAGGATACAGCCAGCTGGCAGGATGGGATATTTTTTTCCTAACCTTCACTCCCTTCTGATTCTTGGAGACTGCCTGGACAAAAATCTCTGCAGTTTTTGTAGCAAGTTTTTTTTTTAATACCCAAAAGTGGTTTGCCTTTGGATGTGTACCTTTGGATCATTTATGTGGGGCTGAGAAAAACTGAGAAGGTCACCCAGCTGGCTTTGTGCTTAAAGCAAAACTTTACTCTTGATCTCTCAGTTTCTAACCTTAACCACTACACCAAATTGGCTCTCAAAAAGGGGGAAAACTTGCAGAAAAGTGCATAAGCATAAATTGAAGTGATGGCCAAATAGACAAGCCAGCAAGTGGTGCTGTTCTTACAGATTTAATGTTGGATAAGAAGAAGTGATTGATGAATGCTGAAGAATTAATTTCTTCTCCCACAAAATATCTCATCCTTGCTTCACCCCAGACCACCGCTGTTATTTGTCAATCCAGTTAGCAAGAGAGATGCAGGATGGAGCAGGCCAATCAATGATGAGTGAGCCATGAGACATAGTCTATTGACGAAAGGGAAGCACACCTTTCCAAGTATTAAAAACAAAAGTATAACCTCGTGAAATTCCTCATTACAGGTAGTCTTTGACTTACAACCATTTGTTTAGTGACTGTTCAGAGTTACAGCAGCACTGAAAAAAGTGACAGTTTTTTACACGACTGCTGCATGATCACGTGATCAAAATTCGGATGTTTTGCAGTTGGCTCATATTTATGGCAGTTGTGGTGTCCCAGGATCGTGTGATCACTTTTTGCAACCTTCTTACAAGCAAAGTCAATGGGAAAGCTAAATTCACTTAACAGCCATGTTACAAACTTAACAACTGTAGTTAACAACAAACTCAACAGCTGTGGCAAAAAAGGTTGTAAAATGGGGCAGAATTCACTTAACTGTCTTGCTTAGCAACATAAATGTTGGGCTCAATTGTGGTTGTAAGTCAGGGACTACCTATAATGCACTTACCAAGATAAGAATCTGGAATGCAGTTGCCTCTATCTGGATCCCTTTACAGGGTTAAATCAACTTTCTGATCACACAAGAATAGTGATGGTCTGAAGTGAGCATTATATATTTTTAAACAGAAGTCCAGAGCTCTTTTGAAAGAATGCTAAACATGTGTTTAATAGAGCAAGTTAAGTATATTTTTCCAAATATGTACAAACTTATAAAGAACCCCCAAAACTTGACATGCATTTTTGAATGTGTCAGGCAATATTTGGGCAAATTCCTTTGTAGGAAGTACATGATCCGGCCAAGCTAAACTGGGCGTGAGATGTAGAGACCAATATTGGTCTGTCCATGAACTAAACTCGAGAACGTGGGTCATGCAGCAATATAATAATCCAAAACTCACAATCCATATAATCAAATAATGGTTAAAGCAGAACTAAGTTAATCTTTTCAAATGTCAAAGTTAATGACTATAATTCTATAAAAATGTTATGGAAGAACCTGAAGTTGATGTGAGGATTTTTACCATCTTCCCTGGGCTGTAGCTGTTCTGTAGGGAGGGATATAATATGCCTACAATTTCTCAAAGCTGATGTGCAGGACTGATAACTCTTATTGCTGTTGGTGAAAGCAAAAAATTTACATACTTTTTCCACACACAAATATGTACCTTTGGATCATTTTTCTCAGTAAACAAACAAGTGTAATGTTTTTGCCTCATTTATTTAATTGATTCCTCTTTTGGGACTTTTGTGGAAAACCCATCGTATTTTAGGTCATATCTATGCAGAAATACTGAATATTCAAAAGGATTAGAGTTCACAAACTTTTAAGTGCTATTATATGTTTAAGCTAACAGATGTAATGTTTTGAAGAAGAAGAAGAGATGATGTAGCACATATAATAAGCTGTGTATTTTGGGATTATTTATTTAGGAAAGTATCTTACAATTTCTAGGGAAAAATTGTTTGGTGATACCAAACAATACAGCTGTGGCTACAGTTGAAATGTGTTGTTTACAGATCTGTAACTTCAATGATAACACTGGATAATTTCTTGGTAAAATTCTGCTGTGCAATACTAGTGTTATGGCAGCCAGTTGGGATAATTATCTAATTTACAAAGTATGGATTTTAGAGCTTCTTAAATATTTAAGTATTCTTCAGTTTAAAAGTATACAGGTAATCCTCAACTTTCGACCATGATTGGAACAGATACTTCCATTGCTAAATAAGATTAAATGAATCCTGCCCAATTCTAGGAACTTTTTTGCCTTAACTCTTAAGTGAATCCTCCCAGTGGTTAATCACATGAATGTTAAGTGAATCCAGCTTCCTCCATTTACTTGTGAGAAGCCAGCTGCGAAGGTCACATGACCCCTAGATCTTGCAATTGTCATAAGTACATGCTGATTGCTAAGCCCTGACATTTTAATTTGTGGGAATGCTGTGACGGTCATAAGTGGAAGGACTGGTTGTAAGTCACTATAACTTCAAACTGTTACAAATAAATAGTTGTAAATTGAGGACTACTTATATATAACTTAAAGCTTCCGTTTATTTTTTTAAAATAACCACTCTTACATATGTGTAGGTATATTTTGGGTTTATGTTATCACTGTTGTTCCTGTGTGTGTTTTCTTTGCTAAACTAAAAAAAATAGAAACTGGGAAAAATGCCGCTGGCATATGATGTTAAGATTCCTGCAAATAAAGATGATGCTCGGGGTTGGCATTTTCCTTGTAGTGTGACAGTTTCTTTGTTTCTAAAATTAAAATAATTTAGAAAGATATAAATTGCCAAGAGGGACCAGGCACTTTGAAAGAAAGATATAAATTGCCAAGAGGGACCTTGGCAAGATGCATTGACATTCTCAGGTATTATGCTGGAGACCCAAGCTTTTGACCAGTGGCAATGCTGACACTGCAGAAGGAAGGAACCATAAAAACAACAACAACAACAATTCTTTTCGGGATACTTTTGAGTAGAATAGTTTGCAAACACTGCTGCCTGCTGAGTAAAAAAAATCTGGATCCATTATAATAGGTACTCCCCAAATTTGTAGATTTCCAAGAAGTAAAAATAAACATAGACTTTTATGCAGCTAATTTGATCTGTTTGTTCTGAATAAGGATTAGTCAGGAACTGACCGTACCTCTCTTAACTGAAAAATGGTAGAGCATAAAATTAAATATATTGTTTCAGTAATGTAGTATAAGTAAATACAGGGATGTTTCTAATCTCACTGAACAAATATGTTTTCTTTGATTATAATGAATACCTTTCACTTAACTGGAAATACTTTATTAGAAAACTTCGGTCATTTTCCGGTGTTCAAATGCTATTGATACACATCCCAAGAACAATTTGTTTGTTTTTGTGACTCTTTTATAGGCAGTGATATTGTTTTTTACTGATATTCATCATGATAACTCCGGTATTTGAACTGAGTCAAGATCCAGATTTTCTCACAATAATTATCAAAGTACCTTATGCACGAGTTTCAGAATTTGACGTCTATTTTGAAGGGAATTCATTTCGTTTTTATGCAAAACCTTACTTTCTCAGGTAAGCAATGTTCATTTTAATCTAATCTCATCTAATCTCTGAACTTAATTTAGTATATTTAGTTTAATAAATTATTTTTGTGAGTATTACTGCTATTTTTTAAAAAGTACACAGCTGAAGATCATAGCTCATTAATTGCTATCAAACAAAGTTGCTATGAGCTTTGGGGTTACGTTGGGCAATTAAACATGATTTGTTCACATCACCGTATCTCATATGCAAATTAGAAATGGTTTTATCAGCATCCAGAAAAGTGTTATGTTATCTCCTGCATAGAAGCGAAAATGGAATAAATTATTTTGAATCCTGTGTGACATAAATTTGAATTGAAACAATGTTTGGTTGCTATAGATCAGAGGTCGCCAACTGGTGGGCTGTGAGAAAATTTTGGTGGGCCACAGAGAAATCTCACCCCCAGAGCACCTCCCCCAAAGCAATTAATTCAAGCTATGCAGAAACACAAGGCTGCTCAGCCCACATGGCCCACGGGAACCCTCCCTGCCCACTCACTCCTTACTCGGCAAACTTGTCTGCTAAGTTGCTATTTTCCCTTTTTCTGACCATCATCTGTTCTGCTCTGCCAGGAGATTTAGATTAGCTAAGAAGCAGGAAATGGTTGGATTTCTTGCTTTCTAGCTAAGCACCAAACGTCCCTTAGAACTGAAGGTTTCCTTGCAAGCAAATTCAGTGCAGACTCACGGCAAGCAAATTTGAGAGACTGAGCTAGCCGATGGCAGATAGATAGATCACTGAATGATTCTGTGAGTAACTCAATCTGCCTGCCTGCTTTGCCTGATTTTGGGTAAAAGTTGCTCATTTTTTAAATAAAAAATTCAATATTTACATGCATGGTGTGTTGTGAGTTAATTTTATGAGTTTGCTTGCAAGCAAATTTTATGTGACAGACTGAGCTAGCCAATGGCAGATAGATTTCTCAATGAATCTGTGATTCTGTGAGCAACTCAATCTGCCTGATTTTGGGTAAAAGTTGCTCTTTTTTATAAAAAATTCAATATTTATATAAATATTTATAATATTTACATACAAGCCATGCCCAGCCAGTCACATGACCACCAAGCCACACCCACAAATTAAGCCACACCCACAGAACCAGTTAGTGATCCCTGGGATCTAAAATTATGAGTTTGGTGGTCCCTGAGGTCCCAAAGGTTGGCGACCCCTGCTATAGATAACTGTTTACATGGAGAAATTTCTTAGCATGCATATGTATACATATATACACAGTCCTAAACTGGGAAGTTGAAAAATATCTAGCAATCCACACTGGAATTATAATTATGGTACATCACATAGTCAGCCAGATGTTTACACTGGATTTCGCATTTTTATCTACCTACCAAGTCATTCCCAAGAACCTGGGTTAGGCAAATTATGTTGTTTAATGGTGTTAAATGATATTGTTGCAGGATGTAAGCTATTCTCCATGTTGCATCGAGAGCCCAGAATGGGTTGACTCCTTCCTATGATGTCATTTAGCTGGGTCTGCACTAAGATATAAAAGCCAGCTCCCGGAAGAGACCCCAGCTTTTGACTCAGCTCCTTTCAGTCAGTAGCTGTGTCTCTGAAAGCTTCTGTTAGATAACACTCACCAGCGATCTTCAGTACTGTTTTTCCTCATTTCAAGTAGCTCCCAGGATCTGGGCAGTTGCTCTTCCAGGAGAGCAGTGCTCTCTCTCTCTCCTGCAACGTTGGGAGCAGCGTTGCCAGAGCGCTGTTCAGGCAAGTTGGGCAGCGTCTGTAGACCTCGCCCACGCCTGCAGTTTGAGCGATCATAAAAAGCGATCAGCAAACCAATAACAGCTTCAGTCAGCTGAGGTTCTGTGGATAGCACTCACCAGCGATCTTCAGTACCTTTTTTCCTCACTTCAGCAGCTCCCAGGATCTGGGCAGCTGCTCTTCCAGGAGAGCAGGGCTCTCTCTCTCCTGCAGCATTGGGAGCAGCATTGCCAGAGTGCTGTTCAGGCAAGTTGGGCAGCGTCTATAGACCTCCCCCACACCTGCGGTTTGAGTGGTCGTAAAAAGCAATCGGCAAACCGATTCCAGCGTCAGCCAACTAATCGTGTGGCCAGCGGCTGCCCTTTCCTTTGCTGACTTCACTCGGGGCTCTTTATAGCCTAAGGAGAGATTCTTCCATCTCAGAGCCTGTTTCCCATAGTCAGTGGCCATCTTGGATTGAAGGCTTCCACCACGAGATGAGCGGCCATTTTGTAAGCCCGAGGGCCAATTTATACCCTAAGGGGCTTAATACAAAAAAATTACAAACAGTTTCTTTTCAATGTAAGAGCCTTTATTCTTCAAATGGAGCAAGATAAGGGTCAGGAAGAGGCCCCCCCCCCCCCCGCAGTTGAACAGTCTCTTCAACCCAATAAGAGAAAAAGTCGTAGGCAACGCACCTAATCGGTCCAGAAGGAGGTGGCTGCTAAAATGAGAGCAAAGGCTCTAGCCCCTAAGAAGGCAACTCAGGCTGAGTTGAGGGCAGAGAAGCGCAGACATGCAGCCCTAGAGAGGCAGTTCAACAGAACTATTCAACAGAAGAGAGCGCAACTACAGCAGGTTTCAGGTGATACCCGTGGGCCCCAGCCAAGCCCTCCCAGGGGAGGAGAAGTTATCAATGAGCCTTTCCATACTCCATCCTGGTCTCCTGAGGCCTTTGCAGTACAATATGATCCTCAGGATCTAAGCAGATCTGGGCTTTATTTCCAACAGGCTTCTGGGCCCTATGCTCCTCTCCCTCCCTCCAGGCCTCTAACCTCTTCTCAATCTAGGCCTGAAGCCACCTTCACTCCCACAGCAGCGGGCCTTCAGCCTTCTGCCTCTACCTTTGAGCATAGACCAGGGGATATCCAAGATGTTGTCTCTTTGGCCATTAGGCAGGGATTGGCTGAAGGCTTCAAGCAAATCCTTTGACCTCTGGAAAGCATTCAGGCCCTTCTCCCTTCTCAATCTATAAGTTCCTTGCCTCATCACCCTGATTTACACAGGCCTCAGGACCTCAGGGTCCATTCTTCTCTACAAGAATGGGAGGAGCTTGATAAGGAGGAGGGAAGGGCTTCACCATCTGAACACAGTTACTCCTCTCATTCAGAACATGAAGAGGGCGAGACCTTTGACCAAAATCTTTCAGACGGAGAGGACTCTCGCCCAGAGCAGACATCCTCTGCATTGGTCTTCAATCCTTCTCTCTTCAGGCCATTACTCAGCAAGGCCTTGGTCACTGCCAAGCTGTCGCCAGAGGAAGTGGCTCCGGAGCCACAAAGAATTCCCTCTAGCCAGGGAGGCTCACTCTTCTCGAAGCCTGTAGTGCATGCAGGGTTTTTTGCCTTCTCCCACTTTGTTCCTGGACATAGTCAAGGAACAGTGCGCTTCCCCTTCGGCAGGTCCTTGCCCATCTTCCCTGGATAAGCATTTCTACAACATCAGCGCAACCCTGGACAATACCCTGGCAGTGCCGTCTGTTGACATTCCGGTTCTGGCCTCGCTCTCATCTACTGGCACTCTCACGTGGGCATCCATACGGTGGCTGCACCAACGCCAGATTAGATTGCCTACATCTGACCTTCAGTCTCACCAAGGCCTTAATAAGATTATTGCAGCGGCGGAATTCACTGCAGATGCAACTCTCAATTCCGCCAAATTTGCATCTAGGGCCATGGCATCTTCAGTAGCAGCAAGAAGACTGTTATGGCTCAGAAATTGGCAGGCGGAGTCACACCATAAATGGAAGCTGGCTTCAGTTCCATTTGTGGGCGATAAGCTTTTGGGCGATCCTCTGGAACCTTATCTCATCGAAACCAGAGATAAACGTAAAATTCTCTCTTCCTCTGGGAAGAGAGCCGACTATTGCCCAGCTCCTTATACTGGTAAACAGCCCTTTCGGGAGGGTGGGGGTCATTCCTTCCATCACTCTAAATAATCCCTCGTTCTCCCCACCCATCGGAGGTCGCCTAGCCTTCTTTGCCTCCAAATGGGAGGAGTCACGGTGGATGCCTGCATGCTCAGCACTATTAGGTCAGGATTACAATTGGACTTCCTAATGCCACCCCCCAAAAATTTTGTAATCTTTCTCTCGGGACATTTCAAGGCAAGACCTCATGAATCAGGCCATTCAACTACTTCTTGAAATCTGAGCTATTCAAACCTGTTCCCCCCTCTCAGCGGGGACATGGGCTTACTCTTGCCTTTTCATGGTTCCCAAAACCTCAGGGGGGGGTAGCGAACCATCCTGGATCTAAAATTTCTGAACCAATTTGTAAAATACAGGCAATTTAAAATGCAGACTCTGCATTCATTTTTAGAGAGCATTCGGGAGGGCGATCTCCTCTCTTCCATTGATCTCATGGAGGCTTCCTCCACATCCCCATTTGGCCTCACCATCGCCAGTTTCTCCCTTTCTGTTATCAGAATACCTATTACCAGTATCAAGCACTTCCCTTCAGCCTCTCATCGGCTTCAAGGGTCTTCACAAAGGTTCTGGCAGCATTGATGGCATCTCTGCTTTCTGTTCCAGTGAGGATCCAATGCTCCTTGGATAACATTTTGATTCTGTTCTCCTCCATCCATCCAGCCTGTCGGGATCTGCAAATTACCCTGTCATATCTCCAGAGCCATGGATTTTTCCACTCCCGTCCACTCCAATGGTTCCTGCTTCCCTACCAACAGGCAGGAACCAGCCACTTATCCATCAAGGTCCCGCTCCCTCCACAAATCCGGAGATCTCTCAATTGGTGGTGTTCCCTGTTCATCTGGAAGGGACCCCTTTCAGGGTCCCAGACAGGCTAGTGATAACCACCGATGCCAGCCTCCTGGATTGGGGTTCCCATATGCAGGGCCAGATAGCTCAGGGCCTTGGTCCAGGTCACAGCAGGCCCTTCCCATAAATTGGCTAGAGCTCAGAGCCATTTTTCTAGTTCTCAAGCATTTCAGGCACTCAGTGACCAGCTCTCATTTTCTAGTCCTTATGAACAACATGGCCGCCATGGCTCATGTCAACCGGCAAGGGGGAATGAGGTCCAGAGCCCTCATGGGAGAGGCTTTACGGTTGGGGTTATGGGCAGAGAAACACCTGTTGTCGATCTCGGCGGACCACTTCTCCAGGATTAACAACTCCCAGGCCGTCTGGCTCAGCAGGAGCCTAGTCGACCAGGCAGAATGGTCCATTCCTCCGTCTCTGTTCAGGAACCTTTCCCTCAGATTCGGAACGCTGGAGGTGGATCTCTTCTCCACTCCTCAAATTGCCCAGGTCACCAGATTCTTCACCAGGTTTCCTTGCAGGGGAGCGGAGGGGACCAATCCCCTTTGGCCCAAAAGTCTCCTCTATGCCTTTCCCCCGCTCCCCATCATTCTGGCAGTAATTCAGAAGATGTTGGAGGAACGAGCGGAGCTCCTCCTCCTGGCACCCTATTGGCCAAGGACGCCCTGGTTTGCGGACCTGGTCAACCTATCGGTGGCTTCTCCTTGGAGGATCCCAGCCCATCTAATCTCCCTTCATCAGGAGATTCTGCTCCACCCGGAGCCCCAGTGGCTCAAGCGGACTATGTGGCACTTGAGTGGCAGCAGCTAGAGGTGGCTGATCTTCCTGAAAGGGTCACCATCACTATCCTGGCATCTTGCAAACCTTCCACAAGGTACATCTATGATGCCACCTGGAAGGCCCTTTCCCGATGGTGCCTTAGGGAGGGTCTCTGTCTCCTGCTTTAGCCCAGTTGGCAGAGGTTCTTAGATTCCTTCAGCATGATCTGGAGAAAGGTTTGGCCCCCAAAACCTTACACAGGCAGGTTGAGGTCCTCTCCTTGGTTCTTTCATGGGGTTCGCTTCCTTTCTTATCCTATCACCCTTCAGTCAGGAGGTTTTTGAAAGGGGCTTCCAACCTGCACCCACCAGTGGTTCACAGGTATCCTTCCTGGGATCTTCATGTGGTCCTTAATGCTCTTACAAAGCCCCCCTTTGAACCCCTTAGAACATTCTCCGTTTCCTGTCTCTGAAGGTAGTGTTCCCCGTTTCCATCACTTCAGCCAGGCGGGTATCCAAGCTTGCTGCTCTTTCGATCAGACAGGATCTTTGTTCCTTTCATGATGATAGGCTTGTCCTCAGTCTGGACCCCTCATTTATTCCAAGGGTTAACACCTGTTCCACAGGTCCCAGGACATTATGTTGCCTGGCTTCTGCCCCTTCCTGCACCATGACTTAGAGCAGCAGTGGCACACGCTAGACCTAGGTAGGGCTCTTAGAATATCTATTAAGCGCACTTCCTCCTTCAGGAAGTCGGAAGCCATTTTGTTTCCTTTTCCCTTCTCACTTGGGGCACAAGGCCTCTTCTACTATTAGCAGCTGGGTCAGATCTTGCATTGAGCAGGCCTACAAAGCTGCGGCCCTTCTGGTTCCTCGAGGTCTGACGGCACACTCTACCAGAAACGCGGCCACTTCGGCTGCCTGGGCGACCCAAGCACCCTTGCAGGAGATCTGTTGTGCGGCCACATGGACATCTCTGTCTCCTTTCATCAGATACTACCGTCTGGATGTCTTTGCCTCAGCAACTCCAACTTCGGCAGACAGGTGCTTCAATGAGTGGTTCAACAGTCAGTGTGATGAGCCGGACTAGGACCCGCCCGTGGACATGCAAGCTTTGGTATGTCCCATCCTGGGCTCTCGATGCAGAATGGAGGAGAATGGGCGTTGGTAGGAGTTACCCTGAACGCCCTTTCTATCTATGCTGCGAGAGAGCCCAGCCCCTCCCTTGATTCATCTGGAGAGGGTAAGTCATATTTCTGTATTCATTTGTGCTTTCAGAGACACCTTTCAGTCTGTCAAGTATCTTCGCCAAAGCTGGGGTCTCTTCCAGGGCTGGCTTTTATATCTTAGTGCAGACTCAGCTAAATGATGTCATAGGAAGGAGTCAACCCATCCTGGGCTCTCTCGCAGCATAGATAGAAAGGGCGTTCAGGGTAACTTCTACCAACGCCCATTCCAAGCATAGCTGCCTTTTGCAATTGACTGATGGTTATTTGTCAGTGCTGATGGTGTTCAAATGAATCTCCAGATGTTTTGGAATTGTACTCAAAGCACCTATTACTACTGTTGCTATCTTTGCTTTCTCTTGCCACAGTTGTTCTATGTTAGGAGTATCTAACTGGTGGCGGTGAAGGGAAAAACGTCTCAGTTAGATACCCCTGTTCTATGTCTATTTGCAAGTCTTTGTATTTTGTGATTTTCTCAATTTCTTTCTCTTCTATTCTGTTATCCCTATTCTGCTTCTATTCTGACACTATCCAATTGATGTCTTATCAACAATTGTTAAGTCTGGAGTGTTATGTTGCAGGTGCCTGTTGAAGTCTAAAGTTCTAGAGCATTTTAGTTTATAATTATTTTAAAATGCATGCACGCACACAAACTCAAACACAGATTCAGACATTGTAACAATAAAGATATGTAACATTTATGTATATGTTAAAACACAATATTTAACACTCCATCTCTATAATTCTTGTTCTCTTAAAGAATGTTGTGCATAGAGTAGAAATTCAGTGGATCATTTCGGGGAAGGGAAGTAATGTCCATTAAAACCAAATGTACAGTAAATTCAAATTTATATAATAGTTGCTTTTTATGTCATTGGATGTTGTTTTTAATTCTGCAGTCCTATATAGCAGCGATGGTGAATCTTTTCAGCATTGAGTACCCATTGCGTGCATATCCAAAATGCAATGCGTGCCCCTCACATTCACGCACATGCGTGCCCAATGTGCTTGCGCCCTGCCCCCCTCATGCACCCCACCCATGCATGCGCCCCACCCCCTGAACATGCGTGGCAGAGACCTGAAGACCAGCTGGCCAGCAGGAGGTGTGTGTGCATGCGTGGCAGAGCTGAGCTGGGGCAATGCCATGCATGTTGACAGGGCTCTGCGTGCCACCTGTGGCACGCATACCATAGGTTCGCCACCACGGCTATATAGCATGCATAAAAGTTACCTAGAACTAAATGGGGTACCCTGAATCTCGTGGCATTTGAATTTATAAATAAAACAAGCTTTCTTCCTGAATTGAGTAGATCAAAATATGGAGAAAGCAAAGAAACAAACAAAATTAAGCAGTGGCTGATGTCTGACAGAACTTCAGCATGTTCCATTCACAATTCCACCAAGGACATGGTGATTACTCTGACATTCCTGATAAAAGTAATGCTAATAATTGTCCATTCACAAATCATACTCTCTTTTTTTGCTTGCCATCTCTATATACAGAATAACTTACTATTTGGACTTGTTTTAATGTATATTGTAGAATCTGTAATTTGATTTTACAAATTGTTAACATCTGAACACTGCTAGCTCATTTTTCTTATACTAATAATAGTTATTAAATAAAATACTTGCTTTTTTTCCTTTCACAGATTGACACTTCCTGGAAGAGTTGTAGAAGATGGAAGAGAGAAAGCATCATATGATGGTTCAGGTTTGCTTTGCAAATATTTTCATATATAGCTATATTGCAGCAGTATATATTTTCTTCCAATTTCACCAATAATTCATGTTATGTTGGTTTCTGGCTGGTCCTTGATTTAAAATGCCGGTTCTGCAGAGAGATAAACAATACATTTGAAATTATTTATGGCCACTAGAGAGAGGATAAGGAAGATTCCTATGTTACAAATATCTTTTCACCAAAATAACATCATACCCTATTCAGAAAGAAACTTGAATTGCTGGTGCACCTATATGCTTCTTTTTTCTGAATATGGGTAAATAATAAATGAAAGGAAAGAGGATTTCCTGATCTTTCACTTTACAGAAAGGAAGGAAAGGCAAGCTGAGCCAAGTAAGATGAAGTTTTCTTTGTGTACCAACTCCCAAAAAAGCGAATTTATTTTATGTAAATAGAAGTCTACATTTACAGTTGGACTTTTTCATTATCTTACACATCCCTATTTTAATTTTATTAGAATTTGCCCTGAGAGATTCCTCAGACCTCTGGTGTAGATTTTGAAAGAATGTATGATAATGCAAGAAGTAATCCAATTTTCCCCACTGCAAACTTCTACAGAAAATGAAAAAAGCAGAGGAGGACATACTATGAATTAAGCCCTTGTGTTTCTGAATGAAAGGCATGATATACATTTAAGAAATAGAAAATGAAGCAGTTTTGGGAGGGGAGCCTTTGGTTGATTACATCCTTTTATTTCTAGGGATATTTACAATTCATCTTCCCAAAGAGACTCCTGGAGAGAAATTTGATGGCTTAGATATGTTGACAGTTCTCTTAGCACCAAAGAAATCCCGATCAGCTAAACCTTTAGTGGAAGAGATGGGTTTGTATGATTATATTTTTAAAAAATGTTTTGCGGGTTCTTGTTTCTCTGTGTAGCATGCATTGGAGGTTACGACATTTTGTAAGTTCATTTTTAATTATTTGAATAATATTTTATTATTAAGATGTATTATAAATATTAACATAAAATATAAATAATAAATAAATATACATATTAATAATTTATTAATATTTATTATTATTATTATTATTAATATTTAGTAACGCTGCTTCTAGATGAAAAATCTATTGGAAGATGCCTTCTAGCATATTAAACATGGTTTATTCTCATGTTTTACTGAGTATAGTGATAAATTCTACTATGGATTGGATGTTAAGCAAAATAAGCCAGATTCAGGCTTCATTGTCTGTCCTACCTTCTCTTCATTATTTTTTTTGGAGTCATATATCCCATTTCTACCTAGAGTTACTAAGAGCTGAGTTTAATCTTTTAAATCTGCTTTACTGCTGAGTTGTGATTCTTTTCTGTTTTTATCTCTACATTTCTGGTTACTGAATATCTTCCATCTGTGAACTAAATTCAGGCTATCTATCGCTTTGCTCTTTTTTTTTTTTTTGAAACAAGAAGAACTAAAACTAATACAATAAAACTGTCCTTGGGAATAGCTTTCCACCAAGCTGGTGGAGAATTGTGAAGGGCCACAATTCCACTTCCACTAAGTCATGGTTTGATTTCACAATCATTTGTTAAATCACATAAATTGATACATGACATTATTTTAAACCCAAGTAAACATTAGTGGTTTAGAAATTCTTTTTTCAAAAAAAAAATTATATTGTTCACCCAACTCCAACGGACACTAGGCAATGTAGAAAACTAGTAAGAACATAAAAACACCTAAAAATACTGAATCACACAGGCACCCCAGGCTAAAATACAGTTACCCTAACAGTCAGCATAAGTATCCATAAGGAGATTTAAAAGCCATGAAATCGAGGTATTCTCCAAAGCATAAGAGGGCAGGACAAGCAATGGATGGAAACTAATCAAGGAGAGAAGCAACCTAGAACTAAGGACAAATTTTCTGACAGAACAGTTAATCAGTGGAAGAACTTGCCTCTAGAAGTTGTGAATGCTCCAAAGCTGGAAGTTTTTAAGAAGAGATTGGACAAACATTTGTCTGAAATAGTATAGGGTTTCCTGCCTGAGCAGCGGGGTGGACTAGAAGACCTCCAAGGTCCCTTCCAACTCTGTTACTCTTTCATAATTATGTTTGGCAGTCAGTCTTTTAGAAAGGTTAAGGATGAAGTAAATTGGGGGGTTGGGGAAAGTCTGCCCCCAGAACAGGCCTAAGGCAAATTTCTTCATTAAACTGGACTTTAAGACAAGGTCCTTATAGTTTTACATATATAATTTTTGTTCTGTATTTTTAAAGTTATCAGGCAGAGAAATATTAGATCATACAATCTGCTAATTGAGCTTTTTAATCATTTATTTTTGAATTACTATGAAGTATTTTGGGGATGACTAGGTGGTTTCTTTTATTTTTTAAATTTATTTATTTTGGCAGTGGGTGAAATCGTTATCCTGAGCTTATGTGTTAATCTAAAAAACAGTGTAAATTATATGATCTTGATTCTTTTGAGAAGCTGTAAGGAAATTGTTAATTAAGTAAAGTTATTTTTGGTGGAATTTCATACAATACATTCTAAATGACACAAAAGCTTGATATTATTGTAATAGTAGCTTTTGATGGCAATGCTTGTTCAGGTGCTCCTGATGAGGAGAACATGGAGGAAGAGGAGGAATTTGACTGGGAAATAGAACAAACCCTTCAGAAAGATAACATGGAGGATTCCTTGTGTCCATCTTGTTCCTATGGATTTGGAAGTCAGAAATCAGGAGTTTTTAGACGTCTCCAGGTAAGTAAATAAACACAGATCTTTAGTAATAAGATGTATTTTTCATATCACAGAACAATGATGTCTGAAAAAGTGCTGAATAATATAAATGTAAAATTTATACCATGTTTCTCATATAATAAGGCCGGGTCTTATTTTTTTTTGAGCCCCGAAAAAATGGCTAGGCCGTCTTTTCGGGGGTGACTTAATTCCCCCCCCTTGCATTCTCAGGCAGGCGGTTGGCGACGGCTTGGATGTTGACCTCGGCGTTGGTGGGGCACTTTGTATCGTGCCAGACCTTCCGCGACCATTGCTTTCCCTTCTCCCCGTGCTGCCGCAGCATTTAGAGCAATGCTGTGGTGTTTGGCGCAGCCACGCAGCATTTGGGCAGCCATGCGGGGCCAGCCAGTGGCCCTTCCTGCAAATGGAGCCCAGTGGAGACACTCGGCTTCAGGCGCTCCTGTCGCCGCCTTCCCGGGCATCATTCAAAGGCAAAGCCCATTCTTTTAAAAACGACACCCTACTACCGGTACGACAAAGCCTGCCCTGCCCGAGAGGGCAGCCCAACCCCACATGGGGAGGCGAATCTCCTGGGGCCACAGCGCAGAATCAGCCCACCCCGGGAGAAGCGCCCAGCTGCCATTCCTGTCTGGCATCGGGCAGAGCGCGAAGAGCTTCGCCTGGGGCACCCAGCGCAGCTGACAGGCAGGCCGTCCTGCCCAGCGGCAGAGCTCTGGCCAAAGCAGCGAGCGCCTCCCCACCGGACCCTCCACTCATCCCGCCAGGGCCGCGCCGGAGCAGGGCAGGGTTGGCAGAGCCAGGAAAGCGAGCTGCTGGTGCACACCCACCTGCCAAGCAAAAGAACTGGGCTGACTCGATCTTGGCTCCCTTCCCAAGTCCCTCCAGCCCGACCCAGAAGGGGCCACTGGGAGAGGCTGCCCGAGGCAGTGATAGCGCTCACTCATCCATGGACAGGGAGGCAAGGTGACAGCCCGCGCCGCCTCCTCCGAGCTGAGCCCTGCCGAGTGAGCACCTCTGCCCGATGCCACTGCAGCATTTGGAGCTGCCGGTGAGTTTGGAGATGCGTGGGGACAGGGACAGGCTGGGTGAGGGGTGGAAAGGATGGGCATCTTCGGGCTCTCTCCACTGGACCTGCCGGCCAGGGAAGCAGCACCTGAAGCCGAGTGTCTCCACCAGGCTCCGGTTGCAAGGAGGAGCCCTGGCTGGCCGCACGTGGCTGCACCAAACGCCATGTGGCTGCATCAAACACCGTGGCGTTGCTCCAAATGCCGTGGCAAGCCCCACCACCATTCCCCCCCATTTTGCATTTTTTAATATAGGCCTTAGTTTGGGGGGAGGGGCTTAATTTCATTTCATGCCAAGAAAGCATGCTGGGACTTCCTATTGGGGGAGGCCGTATTGTTGGAGAAACAGGGTATTATAGCAAAGCAATAGCACTTACACTTATATACCGCTCCACAGTGCTTTAGAGCACTCTCTGAGTGGTTTACAGAATCAGCATATTGCCCCCAACAATCTGGGTCCTCATTTTACTGACCTCAGAAGAATGGAAGGTTGAGTCAACCCAGAGCCCTGTCAGGATCGAACTCCATCCAGTGGACAGAGTTAGCCTGCAATACTTCATTCTAACCATAGTGCCACCATAGCTCCCTATGGACATATTCTTGAAATTAGATGGTAATTGCTGTGTAAGTTAAGATGTCTAAAAGATTGTTTACATCTTTTCAATTTTTTTTTTTTAAATGGTGTTAGAAGTCAATAGGAAATAGAAATTGACTCATGAAATATTATGGAATGTGTTTACAAAAGGGGAGGTGGTATAATGGACAATGGAGAAGTAGCATTTTCCCAGAAAAGAGAAAGGAGCACATTCCAAGGAATGGATGAGACAAGAGATAAAACTGTCTAGAGCTTGATTGGAGGCAGAGGAAGTAGTTTAGGAGAGCCACTTCCTAGAATCTCCCTGGGGTAAATATACTAGGGTGAAGAGTAGTATAGGCTTTGTCTGACAAGCTTTTGTTTATATGGTATGAGCAAAGCTGAACTTTAGTGGATTGTTCGATGTTGTACTAGGGCTGGGCCTGACAAGAAACATTTTATAATCTGAATCTTAAATTGGAGAGAAAGAAATACTTACAGAGGTGGAACTTGAAGTTCACCGAATAAATAAGCCTTAATTGCATAATGGTTTAGAGAGAACACAGTGCATCTGTTGGTGATCTATATTATATAATTGCCTGACAATAGTAAATAAATTACTGTTTTCAATCCGCCTACTGCTAGCATGATTGATGTCAGTAGAACTGTACTAAGCATAACAGTAGTTTGGATCCAACCAGCTAATTGTAAAATCAATAATTTTATGACATCTGCTAATATATTTATGATGAAAAGTTATCATTACAGAAAAATTCTTTGAGACGTGTATATGCAATACAGGTAGTCCTTGCTTAAGACCCATTTGTTCAGTAACCAGTGAAAGCTAAGATGGCATTGAGTGAACAATCCTTGATGTGGCAGTGATTGCAGTGCCCCTGCGGTCCAAGTGACCAAAATTCAGGCACTTGATGGCCCACCTGCATTTCCAACTGCAGCATGTGCTTCATGTCCCTACTATCTGTCTCTCTCCCCCCCACTTCTGCCCTTTGGACTGTCCTGTGCTCTGCCACCTAATCCAGGGGTGTCAAACTGGTGGCCCGCAGGCTGGATTCATCACAGGCAGGCCATGCCCACCCCGTTCCACAAAAGGGGAAAAACAACGTGATATCACATGATGGCAATTTGACACTATGAGTTTGACACCCGTGATCTAGTCCCCTCTCCTCCCCTCCAGCTGACCTTCACCGTCTTCTTCCTCCACTACTGATTCGGTATGTCTGCCTGCCTGGGGCAGCTCCTGGCTCCTTGTGAGTGCACTCCGGCCAACAGGACAGAGATGGGGGAAGGAGATAGGCAGGTGGTGGGAAAGTGATATCCTCAATTTAGATCACAGGTGGAAAATTTCAGTAACCAAAACTGTATGGATAGCAGCAGAAAAGGAACACAGCTCAGTAGTAAAGCAGATTTAAAGGATTCCAACTCAGATCTTAATACCTCTACTGTAGAAGTGGGAAATACGGCTCCAACAAATAATGGAGACCAGGTAGGACAGATAGGGAAGCATGAATCTGGCTTTTTTTTTTACTAAACAATCCATAATAGAATTTATCACTTTATTCAATAAAACATGAGAATAAATCACTTCTTAATATGCAAAAACAGGGGTCCCCAACCCTCGGTCTGTGGACCTGCACTGGGCCACAGCATACCAGAAACCAGGGTGCACAAACAAGTGAAGCTCCAACCCTGGGATGCAAAACCATGACCCCTCTGGTCCACGGAAAGCCTTCTCTCCATGGTGCCCAAAAGGTTGGGGACCGCTGTGTCAACGTTCCAAGTAATGCACCCATAGAAATTAGAACTCCGAGGCAAATTCCTCAGAGAACAGTTTTATTGGGTATATCATATTGGCACAACTGGTGAAAGCTGACTCTAAAAGTTCCTGCAGCTTTCACCTAATTAAAAGTAAAAGTTTCCCCTCCCCCACAAGTCACTGGTCAGGCTGTCCAACCCAGGAGCTGGCTGGTTGCTTGGTTACTTCACTCCTCTGGCCAGCCATCTGTGTGAATGTCCTTGGGTTCCCACAGGAAAGTTGTTTTGGCTACACATCCCATCTAAGTATTCCCCCTCCCTCTAGTGTGTGGCAACCCTGAAGCCTCCAAGATGGCCTCAGCTGTGATCACTTCAAAGGTTGACATGCTGTGCTAAAAGGCGTCTTCCAATAGGTTTACCAGCAAGAAGCAGCATTACTATTTTATTCAAATAATTAAAAGTTCTTCACCTCCAATGCATGTTAAAAGAGAAACGAGTACGCAAATTATCTTTTAAAAATAAATAATATAGACCCATCTCTTCTGCTAAAGTTGGGAGCGAGTGCAGCAGAGCAAGAAAAGTGTGAAGTCCTGCCCTTATGGTGACAGTCTGGGCCTAACGACTGTAATTGTGCCTAATAAAATTGCCATCACTATGTTGTCCAGGACACATAATGTTTCTCTTAACCGCATTACTTGACAACAGAAATTCTTGTCTTAATTGGGGACATTCAGAAATGACTACACGAATATGTATATTTGTAAAGATTACTTTGCATTTATGGGAAACTGCAATCACTATTTGTTTGGAATTTCTACAGAGATGTACATGAAAATGTCCTCTTGCTTCATGAGCTTAATAAAATTCATTTTTATAATTTGCCATTTTATGGCATTCTGTGGTCTAAAGTAGCTTCCCTATAATGGAAAACAGTATGAGGAAAAAGAGATGTTTCACTCTATATCATGCAGTTTATATGAAAAAGTGTAAGTTGTAAATCTTAAACATATTGCTTGAGGATGACAGATTTTCTACTGCTTTGTTTTTAAGAAAGATATTTCTGTATAACTGAAGAGAAAAAGCCAAAGTGGACACATTTTTGAAAAAGATAAAACATAGAAAGCAAAACTTTAGTGATAAATGAACTATTTTGCCTTAACCATCATGACATCTCCTACATCCATACATCTTTATGTTTAGACATGTGCTTCTCTTAAGTGAAGATAAGAGTAAGTTTAAAGTGGTCACATTCATAGATGTATTCTTCAAAGCCTTGAGAAGGTCTTTTTTCAACACAGTAGCAAACCTAAAAAAAGGAAATGACAAAGAATGTGTCCCAGAGGAAATGATACAAGTCATACATGGACAGGAAAACACAGTCTTAGGAGAAGAAATTAAATTATTTTCTTTTTATCGAAAAGCAAATAGAGTTGTGTGGTGTGAATCCTTATCATAAAGCATGATAGCTTCTGAGGTACACTGTTGCCTGCTTTTCAGTTAGTTATGCATTGATATTAGCCAAATATCAATACGCTGAGAACTGAACAGTGAACTTGAGTTAAAGAAAATTATTAACTGTTAAAAGATAACTAAACAATTCACTGATTTCGTCTTCTCTTTGTGAGTTTCTCCTTTTATGCTATAGAAGTGTAACAAAATAATTTCTGCTGTAGTCAATAATTGTGGCTTTGTTTAAAATTACATATACCTGTCAATCTAAAAGAGTTTAAATTGTGCTGCAAAATTGCAGCAATAATTGTAGCAATTTCTTTTGTAGATGTTTATTTTATCACGACTATGTTTTTATACATGTAAAGAACTCTAGACAAGTTTACAGCATTTGATAAATGGTATATGGCTGTGATGGCTAACCTATGGCACGTGTGCCACAAGTGGCATGCAGAGCCCTCTCTGTGGGCATGTGAGCCGTCGCCCAACCACACGTGTGTGCATACCTCCTGCTGGCCAGCTGGTCTTCACGTCTCTGCCACGCATGTTCTGGGGGCGGGGGACATGCATGGGGCACATGCATGGGGGAAGTGCGCGCATGTGTAGAGGTGGGAAGCATGTGCGGGGGACACGTACGTAGTCCATTTTGGGGATGTGCACTTTGGGCACTCAGTGCTGAAAAGGTTAGCCATCACTGGTAAATGGCTACATCATTTTAAACCAAAATAATCTTTTCAGTATTATACCAAGCTTCTATAATAAACACAATAGGTTATTTAATAAATAGAAAAAGAGATTTGAAATCTGAACCTGATGAGTCAGCTTTTATGGCACAACAATCCTTTTAAATCCATTTAGCATGCCATTAAGAATTGAGTATAATTCATAGATGATATTATGTGCCTTTAGAATTACATTATATTAATTACAGACTTTTTAGGTTGTGCTAGAGGGATTATAATCAGATTTGGACGCATTGCCATCATACATTGCAATGCTAATTTTAAGTGCTTACTTAGGTCAAACGTTTTTGAGGAAATTGTAAACAAAAATAATGGGTAATCTCTAACTGTGTGGGATTATTTCCTATAACTGTGATGCAAGCTTTTTTTCCCCTTTTTTATTAATTGTCAGATTTATCAGGATGAAGTAGTGTTGTTAACAATGTGGAAGGATATGGTTGCTATTGCTTAACCTGACAGAAGAGTGCCACCTTTTGGGAAGACAACTTAAAGTTTTGCAAGGGTGGTTTGGTTTACTGATTTTAAAATGTGTGAAACTGCACAGAAAAATCATCCAGTAGCAAAATACCTTGAAGAATCTGTTAAGTAAAGTTTCTTTTTTAGATTTGTTCTCCTTTTGACCAGTTTTTTAAAAATTCCTTTTATCTACACAAATTTCTTCGGTGCTAAAATATAAACAATATATCTTAAAACATTTGTATTGATTAATATTATCAGTATATTCATATATATTCTAAAACTGTATCTATTTCAGTGTCTTTTGTGTCTGTTGATATTTGTTGATGTTCCATTTATCCTAATTAAACGATGGGGAAAGGGGGAAGAACTACCCAGAATTGTGTGAATGGTATATAAATTTAATTAAAAATATAAAATAAAATTGGAGATAAAATCAGGAGGAGGGATGAAAACTGGAGCACAGAGCAGCAGCAAGACCAAAGACCAAGCAAACGAGTGGCCTCTCTAAGGACCATCATATGAGAATGACTAGCTGATTCACAACCTGTTTGGCTCATTTGGAATTTTAAGTGGACTGTCACCAAATGGCCACCTTGGGATGAGCTAGTCCTTTTCCAGCAAAGGTTATCCCTTGTTTGCCAATCATAAGAGAAAATGATGAGGTTTCTCCCTACAGTTCTATAGCTTTCTAGGGTGTTTCTCACTAGCACGTATTCTCTCTGCCCCTCCCCTTCCCTCACCTAGGCAGGTGAGAAGAATTCCAAGTAAAACATTAGATGAGAGCCACCAGTCACTGTTATTTTCTAAAAAATACCTATGGCGGGGGCATCAGACTGACATCATCACGGCAGTGTCACATGATGTATTGTGACTTTTCCCCCCTTCACTAAACCGGGCGTGGGCGTGGCTAGCACATGATGCATCTGGCCCTGACCTATGGGAATTTGACAGCTCTGACCTATGGCCATCTGAGATCTAGAATCATTTGAACTAAAGATGATATTAGAGATAGTTCCTTTCCTTCGCATCAGTGTACTCACTTCCCCTTTTTGTGATTAAAAAATATTCAAATGTCAAAATCAAATCACAAAGGAAGTCTTAGCAGGCGCCAAGACCTATCTATTTATCTATTTACAGCTTAGCATTTGCAATTGTGGCATTTAATAAATCCTTGCTTAGTAAAACATGAATCTATTCACAATTTAGCATCTAGATTTTAAGCTATACAAAATACTCTGGTTTATTCTTTCTTATCCATCACATGAGAAAGGAGTGCCCTGCTTATGATCTAATCTCAAATAATAATTATATATATATATATATATATATATATGCATCCACTAAAAAAGATTAAGATAATCTAATCCATGGTTAGTGAGGCATGGGAAATAATGTATCCACTTGCAATAGGAGGCTAATATATTGATCATACAGTGATGAAGTGTGATGTCCCTATTCTAAAGTTTCTTGTTTCACTGAAGAGTACAGGTGATTGATAGATGTGTATTCTTGCTATCTTTCAGCTCTTTGTGTTTTAGAATATTTGACTGCATTTCATGAAGCATTCTTTACGATACCTCCAAAGCATCCTTATTATCTTGATGTACAATTTTCTGAACTCTATACTATGTATGTTTTGCTTTTTTTTAAGCCAGTGATTCTTAATTGATTTGTTCTTTTCCTTACAGGATGAACTTAATGAAGTTATTGATGTTAAAAATCCAGACATAACACCTGCATCTGAACGCAGAGAAAAACGACTTGCAGCAGAAGCTGCTAAATTTGATCCTGATCATTACCTGTATGTTTATCTCTGCTTATGTGTTCCGGCAGTAAATAGTTTAGGATCATTATACTGTGCAATTGGATTTAAATCCTCCCTAACCTTTCCCATTGATCTTCATTGCCCTTCTCAGTTTTCCTACTCCTTCATCTCCTTCCCACCTCAGGTTACATTTAAACAAATTTACATATCCCAAAAAAGTATTTCGTTAATTGTATTTATGATGGTATGAAAGAGTTAGAGTTATCAATAAATGCAACAGAAGAGTAAAGACTATGCACGCATAGAGCTCATTTGCTGATTTTGTGTCAGTCACCCATTCTCAGCATAAAGGTCATTGTTTTGGAGATAAAATTAAGAAGATACTTCCCCCACCACTGTAAGTGACCATGCCCAGAAGAAAGAAAGAATATAACAGAATATATACTCCTTACCTGCAAACATCAAATTGTAGATTGTTATATTATACCCTCATCTTATATAGCCAAATGTATTGGTATCCTATGAGCCATGGTGGCGCAGTGGTTAGAGTGCAGTACTGCAGGTTACTTCTGCTGGTTGCCTGCAATTTGGCAGTTCAAATTTCACCAGGCTCAAGGTTGACTCAGCCTTCCATCCTTCCGAGGTGGGTAAAATGAGGACCCAGATTGTTGGGGGAAATATACTGACTCTGTAAACCACTTAGAGAGGGCTGTAGAACACTATGAAGTGGTATATTAGTCTAAGTGCTATTGCTATTGCTATCCTTCCACTTTCTCCCAAAGAATCTCAATTTGCTGTGAAATAAATGGAAACTAATACAATACAAGTAAATAGCATCTACCACTCTTTATTCCAGGGCTCTTCAAACTTGACAGCTTTAAGACTTGTGGACTTCAACTCCTAGAATTCCTCCTCTAGTCATGTTAGCTCAGGAATTCTGGGAATTGAAGTCCACAAGTCTTAATCTTGCCAAGTTTGAAGACCCTTGCTTTATTCTATAATCCACAGAGCAGGCAATTTACATAAACTTGTAAATAATAAAACAATTGTAAATGACATGGACATAATCAGTACAGGTAGTCCTCGACATACAACAGTTTGTTTAGTGACCACTTGAAGTTACAATGGCACTGAAAAAAGTGACTTATGGCTGTTTTTCATACTTAAACAACGATGGCAGCCTCCCCGTGGTCACATGATCAAAATTCAGACCTGTGGCAATTGACTTATATTTATGATGGATTGCAGTGTCCTAGGGGATCATGTGATCAGCTTTTGCAACCATCTGACAAGCAAAGTAAGTGGGAAACCAGATTTACTGAACAACTGTGTTAAGTGTGTAACTTAACTGCAATGATTCACTTACAACTTTGCAAGAAAGGTTGTGAAATGGGGCAAAACTCACTTAACTGCTTTGGTTAGCAACAGAAATGTTGGGCTCAGTTGTGGTCATAAGTCAAGGATTACCTGTACTACTAGCCTAATATTTTGTAGTGCGCCTTTTCAAACAAATAATGGCAATCAGATGCTTTTTATACTTCTTAGGTGGAGCAGTTTGTCTCACTCTCCTTGAGAAAGCTGTTCCCTCTGTTTCTTTATCCCAGGTGTGAGGCTCAGCTCTTTCCATAGGTGTTCAATTGGATTCAGATCAGGATTCATACATAGCAAAGCACAGTGGTTAGAGTGGCGCAGTGGTCAGAGTGCCGTACTGTAGGCTACTTCTGACTGCCAGCTGCCTGAAATTTGGCAGTTTGAATCGCACCAGGCTTAAGCTTGACTCAGCCTTCCTTCTTTCCGAGGTGGGTAAAATCAGGACCCAGATTGTTGGGGGCAATAGGCTGTCTCTGTAAACCACTTAGAGAGGGCTGTAAAGCACTCTAAAGCAGTGTATAAGTCCAAGTGCTGTTGCTATTCAGAACAGTCCAGTGTTTGCTTTTCAGCTAGCCTTGAGTTTTCTTAGATGTAAGTTTCAGGTCACTGTCCTGCTGGGGCACCTATTGCTAGTAAGTCAGAGCTCTCTAACAGTGGGGACTATGTTTCACTGTAGAACACTTTGAAAAATCTCCTGATTTCATTCTGCCCTCCATAGATAGAAGGTACAAAGTGCCAGAGACATAAAAGCAACCCCATAGCATTATGAAGCTTCCATTTTTGATAGCAAGGATGGCGTTCTTTTCTTTTAAAGCATCAATTTGGGGGGCGTTTTCCTGCTTTTCAGAAGAGAGTTTTCCTAGGTTTTCTATCATTTACTTTCAGTAAAACTCTGACAGATTGTGTAACTTGATCTTCTTGTAATTTGATCTTGGAGGTCAGTTAGAATCTGTTTTGAAGTTTTCTTTGATTCTTTCTGCCCATTCAAACTATCCTTCTCTTCAGTCTGGAATCAATTTTCTTCTTGTGGCCTTATCCAAGGAAGTTGGCTACAGTTCCATGGACCTTACATTACTTAGTAATATTAGCAACCTTGGTCACTCTTGAGAGATATTATCTTTAAGATAGACCAAAGTAGGTATCCAATGTTATAGAGGTCAATACTTTTATTGGAAAATTATAATAAAATAATCTTGCATGTCTAAATGCACTTTCCCCTTCCAAACCTTTATCTTTGGGGAAACTAGGGAAGGTCTTTTCCAAGGCATTTATTCAACTTATATTCCAGCCCTGGGTTTCGTCTTCTTTTATATGACTGTTCTCTTGGTAGAAGCTCTTCCTCCTGTCCCTTAAGGCCATTTCCTGTGTTCTCTACATTTTGTATCCTTTGCTTTTATCATGCTTGGCTACTAGTTTCTTTCTTTCCTCCTCAGACAACTCTCTGCTTTTCTTTCTCTTCTTCGCATTCACTATGTAGCAGACAATGATGCATTCATTTCTCATCATTGAAATATGCTGACTGATTATGCGATTGAAGACACCAGTGATGCTAATTAAAGATCCTGCTTGAGAAGATCATTAAAATTTGATCATGGTTTTTTTTAACCTCCAAGGTGTGCCAGTAGTCATGTCCATGCTATTTTCATTTGTTTTACTATTTACATGAGTATGTTGATTCATACATCAAAAGCAAAGTGCCTGCTCTCTAGACTATGGAATAAAGATTATTGAAAACCGTTTATTTGAATCCATTTCAACCCATTTCTGCAAAATTCAGTATCTAGGGAGAGAGCTTTTCTGTCATTGCCCCCACTCTGGGGAATATTCTTCCTCTGGAAGTGAGGCAGCCCCCACCCCATCCCTCCTGACCTTGGGAAAGAAGTTAAAGCATGACTGTGCTACCTCGAGTGGGGAGCTCAGAGGAGCACACAGCCGTGGGTCTGGAGAGTCCCCTGCAAACCCTCCCTTTGAACTAATCTTCATAGTACTTAATAACTGCTGCTCCTTTTTTTTTTTAACTTTTATATATACTGTTTATGAATGAAGGCAAACACATATGTCCCAGGATAATGTTGCAGGATCCAATCTGGAATAAAAATGCGTTGTTTTATATTTTAACATTTTATTATATACCACACAGAGTCCCTCTTTGAGGGAGATGGGAGTTGTTCCGAATTGTGAAAAATAAAAAATTGTGATTCTTTGGGAGAAAGTGGAGGGGTACCAGTCTTTTGGCCATGTCTGTACCTTGAAGTTCCAAATTAAATGGGGGGGGGGAGGACAACCCTGGTCCAATAAAAAAGTGTTAAACAATATCCCTATAGTTCTCTTCTGCAACTTTGAAGACAAATGTAATCCACTTTAAGAATTACTAAAAAAAATGAAAAAAAAAATTCCGTAATAATTTTTTTTAAGATTTTGCTATTCCTAATGAAATAATTACATCAGGATCTACCTTAGCACAATCAAAAGCTACATGACTAATTAACATTTTAACCTTATCTCCCTGCTCCGTGATGAAGTAACCCTGCTTGATTAGCATGGATTGATTTAGTTAGATGTTTGTGCTGTTACAGTCTTGATAATAAGCTTCCTTGAAACTGCCCAAGTTCCAAATACTGATTAAAAACCTCAGGTGGGTCAGTAAAATGTTTTGTAGAGTAAGAAAGGCAGATGGCTGTAGATTAGCACTTTGCTTGGAAAGTTTCCAGACCACTTAATTAAAAAAAAAAATCTCAGTTGCAGATGCAGTACTTCATAACCCTGGAAAAAGAATAGATTTGCATTAACTTTTCAAAATACTAAAATGATGTACTGTTTATTGCTTTATAAAGTACATACCTGTAATAGATCACATAAATTTCAGTTTAAATAAAAGAGATATAACAAAAGATTTCAGAGATCTTTGGTATGCAAGATTGAGGCCACATGAACTATATACCTACATATGTATATATGTTTCCCAATATAACTTCTGCTGCTCTTCTTTAATCTTCTGTGGCTGCTTTCTCAAAATGGGTTGTTCAAAACAAAATTCATTCTAATTTTTATAGATCGTGAACTAATATTGGAAGACTAATATGCATATATTGAAGTATACCAAGTCAGCTATGCTATTAAGTGCACAAAACGATGAGTATATTAAACAGTTATTAAGCTCTCTCATACTTAGGTTGATATCCTAAAATCTCAGTTTGTATTGAAGTTGTACTCTGAGTCTAAAGCTGATGTAGGTGGCTGAGATGTCTCTAAGATAGGATTACTGTGACTTACATATGTACATTCCTCATATCAAATTCATAAGCTTTTCTATCTTTCCAGAGCTGATTTTTTTGAAGAGGAAGCTATTCACCGTCTGTTGAACTATAAGCCCTGGTGGGTTAACGCCTACGAGTTGATGATAAATGCTCAAGAAAGCACTTCATGGAGTAAGTACAATCAATCCTCACTTAGTAGGATTGTACTTCTACAGCTTATATAAATCCCTCTTGTCTGTGGTACTTGACTAATATGTCTCCCACTGTTGTAAAAAGAATTCAACTCAGTTGTTTTTTCTAAGGACTGGAAAATTTACTTGACAATATTTAGCTTTTCTGATACTTATATATCTGTAATGGATGGATAGTCTGTGGACTGCATGTAGGCCCCGTTCCTCCCTCCATGTATTTTCTGATTCCAAGCATCCTATTATCATTTGGTAGTGAAATGGGTCCATTTTGGCACCGCCTTTGGTTTTTTTTCCCTTTAAAATTTAGGTATCCACATAGCCTAATCTATAGAACTATGGTTATGGGTTTTTTTCTGTGAGTTTTCTGGAAGGTTGAAAGCAAAGCTGGGGTCCTTGATACACCAAATATCACCCTTTCTTGGTCTATAAAAATTAAGAAAATGATCTACATTATGAATATATTTTACTATCTTTCTTGAATCCCCCTTTTCACCTCATTTTTTCTCTTCTCCATCATCACAAAAAAGCCCCACTAATTGTTCTTACCAATTCAAAATCAACTGAACTTTCTAGATTTGGAGTTGATCCAGCATAGATTCATTCCAAATGATGTTACTGGCTGGATTTAGTTGCTCTTTGAAAGCACCTTCAAATTGCAAGGGGCTGGGGAAAGTAAGAGACAAACAAGTCAGGACTAAATATTTGCATCGATGTCATCCGTGTCAAGGTTCCAAGTAATATGTCCCCAACAATGAGAACTCCGAAGCAGGCATATTCATCAAAGAACATTTTATTGGGACATATTGTATTGACATAAACTTTGTGAAAAAGCGGCTCTAAGTTCCTGTCAGTTTTACATCCAATTGAAAGTAAAACTTTGTCACTTTCCCCCAAAGTCACCAGTCACATGGTCCAATCAGCACATAGTTGCTAGGTGACTTCAGTCTCCACCTTTCAAACACCTCCATGAACATCCTTGATTCCCAGGGGAAAGAATTTTATTTTGGCTACAATACCCCAATTGTCTCTACACCCCTCCTCCCTACCCCTTAGCTCAAGGCTGTGTCAGCCCTGAAGCAATGTGAAGAGAAACCTTAGAGGAAAGCTGCAGAAAAGAAAATGGCCACAGTTAGGCCAGCTTCAGGGTTGACAACCAGTATAATCTGAGGAAAAAACTGCATCTACAGAAAACAGTTGTATCTAATAGATTTAGGTAAAATCTACTATTCCATTCCTACTCTGGACCCAATCTGGCCATTTGTGGGGGACTGATAAGACAGTTTTCTGGAGTTCCAGGGCTATTCAGCCCAAATAACCCATTTTCATCCAGAACATCATGTTTGAACAAATAACTGCTGGTTCAGAGGACTGATATTCAGAAAACCAATGGACCACTTCTGGAACAGCTTGCTCCAGAATAAAAATGTTGCATTTCTCTCTGAGGTGGAGCAGCAGTTAGAATATAGCATTGCTGGCCAACTCACTGCTCAATGCCAGTAGTTCGATTCTGACCGGCTTAAGGTTGACTCAGCCTTCCATTCTTCCAAGGTCAGTAAAATGAGGACCCAGATTGTTGGGGGCAATATGCTAATTGAAAACCGCTTAGAGAGAGGGCTGTAAGTATATAAGTCTGAGTGGTATTGCTACTGCTATTTTGTGCATCCTTAATATCTGTGCTTGAGTTTAAAAAAATTAAACTCATGACATTTTCAAAAGGTTTGAGCACTCAATTCCTTTGAATATCCTCATGAGGAGACAGAAGACATTAAAGATCATTTTACATATTTATGAACCTATAATGAAAAATATGTTTCCAAGTTAAAGCTCCCTTTTGTTGCAAGTTCTACATACTGAGCAAAATTGTGGCCAAGGGGCTTTTTGTTACATTTAAATTCTTGACAGATCTGTTTTTTCTCCTAGCTTATGGCCTGCTATCTGAAAATTAGTTGTAGTGAATGGCAGTGTTAAGAAATGATTTAATATGTCTTTTTACAAGTTATTTAAAGTTATGCAGCTTTATTAATCACAAGGGGAAGGAATAACAAAAGGACAAATATCATTTTCACTGCTGTATGTTTCAAACCCTGTCAGGCTAGGGGATCTAAATTGATAATATTTACAAATACAATATGGAATAAATATTTTTTCAGGAAAAGCAAAAAAAATTGTTTCCACAATTATGTAAAAAAAAAAACCCTCAAAAAACTTTGAGGAAATTGCTTGAAAAGTTTCTGCTTTTTTTGCTGAAAGATAATTAGTTTCACAGTTAAACAATTGAAACTAGAATTCCTTTTAGATTCTGCCAGAAATCTTATTTTGAGAATTCTTTTAAAAAGCACAAGTGAACATACGATAATTTAAGAGCAGGCCATTGTCATTTTTGTTCATTTATCAGTATTAAAAATCTTCTACAGAATGCAGAGATAATTGCATTGCATATGTTAATTTGCCTATTCAGAAGTTTAAAATCTCTGGACCGCCTAATTTTGCCTAATGTTTTAAACAGAGTTGGCTTTTGGATCTTCTGAAGATTCTGTTTTTGTGCTAAAAGATGTACAGTACATTCATTTTGGTGATGGTTCAGTCTTAGGGGATACTTGCTTTGATGAGGCAAAGAGACCACTTAATTCACTTCAACAAACAATTTGAGTGACCACACATCTCCAGTACTGCAGGAGAAGACTCCTATCAACCTTCTTCCCACTGACTAAAGCAGGGGTGGGCAAACTACGGCCCGTGGGCCACATCCGGCCTGTTGGTCATTTTAATAGGGCCCTCCTCTGAAAAAAAAAAATCCCCTCTAAAAAAAAGATGGGGGCCGGCCAAAAGAGACCCCGCGCCGCGCGCCATAAAATCGCACACACAACACGGAGCTGGGCAGCCGCTTCCCTGGTGGCAGGGCCGAGGTTGCCGCCCAGGGAACGCCCACTGCTTTCCCTCCGCCCGGGCTCCGCTCAGGTGTCCAGCTGGGGCTGTCAGGAGTTGCTACCACGGGCGCAGATCCGCGTGGCTCCAGTCCCGCGTTGCCTTGGGAAGGGAAAGGCAAAACCAGGAGCCGCTGAGCCTGAGCCTCCGGTGCCGCTGCTGCCATTGCAAAGCGCCACCATGGCTCTTCCTTTTTGCCTTTCCCTTCCCGAGGCAACGCGGGACTGGAGCCGCGCGGAGCTGCGCCGGCGATAGCAACTCCTGACTCAGGGGGCCTCTGAGGGGAGGGGAAGGAGGAGAAGAAGGGGGGGGCAATTCCCAAAAAATCTTGTGCTGACCCGGACCATCTGTCAAATTTTAAAAGTCAGTGTGGCCCCCGAGCCAAAAAGTTTGCCCACCCCTGGACTAAAGTAATCACAGGCTGGGTAGTTTCAGGAGTATTGGCTTAAAGGTGTACCGGGTGATGGCTTCAATAAATACTGCATCTGGTTTAGTAGAACTTCAGTTTGTGCATAGCAATGCTATGGGAGAAAACTCTTGTCAGCACATTAGTGAAGTTCTTCCTTCAAACCTTCTCCATATATACATAGCATGCTTGGAGGATAAACCACAGCAGTGATGACCAGTATCACTGTGTAGTGGAAACAGTTAGCCTAGACCAAGCCTCCTTGTTGCATCCCAAGGCTCTCCATACCTAGGCAGTTGCAGCACTGGCAACAGTCCTTTCTTGCTGGTTGTCTTCTGGCCCCTGGTGAATGATTGAGAGAGGACAACAGCATGTGAAATACACTTTCAACCACATTTCAGCTATCTAGTGGTTGAGAGATCCAGCTGAATAATGGAGCTTCACAACATGAAGCTCTTGGGGTTTGGTGGGCTGTCATGTGCTATGTGACTAAACAAAGAGAGTTGGCTGGGGGGTTTTGTTGAGTGATGGTGCTAGCTGTGCAGCCTGGAAGAATCCTGATTTAACACTGCAGGGGGAAAAAAGCTTTTCTTCATCTTTTTCCCATTGGGCACGCTCTGCAAAAGAAGAACAATTGAATAGTCTCCAGTGTAGAGTGTAGAATGTTTGCTCTAAATTGCTATTGAACCTCATTTACTTTTGAAGCACCTTTGAGAACATCTTTTGTTCAAAACTCCATAAAAGTGAAGCACCTATTTGAAGCCTCACTCAACCTTAATAAACCATCTCTGGTGTATAACATTTGGATGTGTGATGGCTATGTGATTGGAACTTGCCATCAGCAAAGGATTAGTGGCTGTGGGTTTCATTCAGTACTCAAATTTGACGATATGAATAACTTGATTGATTTTGGGTTTTATTCTATGTACAAATCCTTATTTCAGTTACCCTATTAACGTTTCACTTTTACAGTTGATTTCAAAATCAGACACTTATGCTCTACATAGAATACAAAGGAGATCACAAAAGCTGTGTTATTTCTGCATCACCTTTTCACCTGTCGGATGAACACCCACTTTTGATGGTATAAACCATGTAAATCACCAGCTGCTTCAATGACAATGTCTTACAGAATTGTGGTAGTAAAGACAAAACTCCGAGTATCTTCTATTACTGAATCGCTGTGCTGTGATCAGTATCTTAAGTTAAGACATTTATGCTACCTATAACTTGGTTCTGTATTGCCACAACTTTTGGTAAGGAGCAGGAAAATAAACCAAGTTGTATACTGTGACGGACACAAATGGGACCTGAAGCAAAAGTATTTCCTTTCTTCCCATACGAAATATTCCTGTCAGAGATTTTAGCAACCTTGAAAGATGCGTCAGCTCGAGCGGGAGAGAAGCAGATAATTATTTAATCTTTCCCATCTCCCTGGGCTTTACTACTAATATTCTAAATAATACAAAAAGACTCATAGTTAGAATTGTTTTAAATATTGGTCACCAAGAAAGTCACATGGTGATACAGTGCCAATTGATGAGCCCCTCAGTCAGATGTCACTGAGTGTCAGCTTTGTCTTGGTTATTGATTGGAGTTGAGGTTTTCTGGAATGCTGACACTGAGCATGGTGTTGAGGAAGATTTGACTATTTTTTGGATAGTATTCTGAAGTCTGTGATGTTGTGAGATTAAAGTCTTTAGGGTGTTTCAGCTTCCTTAAGAAATCTGTAAGGAAAAAGAGGGATGACCAGAAACAAGGTGAATGGATTGGATTAAAATGACTATGGGTACACCAGTGGAATACCTGAAAGGCCTTGTTGGGACAGATCTTTCTGGAGAAGATCTGTCTGTGGTCACTAAGAGTTTACACCAACTTGACGCACATAATCTAATTAGAGACTATAGGTATGCTGAAGTATGTCCCTCTTTACAGAACCTAAAGTCACTTTCAAATAATGGTTGACATTTTATTTGATTTCTATATGAGCTATTGCACAAAAGAGAGAAGAAAACAAAATAGGAACTTCTTTGCATGAGGTTAGAATGATGTGGAGCTCAGACTTAAACTGCTACATAGAATAACTTGGACATAACCATAAAGGGAAAGGGACGTATGGGTTTGCTTTATTCCTTTTCCCATTTTTGATCTCCTCCCCTATGATTTTAATATAGTATTCTTATGTTCTACACATTTTGGAACCCTGAAGAATAGCACTGCTATTAGAGTTTACTTCTGCAAAATATTTTCGCACATTTTCCTTTCCATGTCTCAGAAAATATTTCTTGACTTCCCGTCAAGCTTATATTTGTTTCACTCAGGATTCTAGATTTGTGTTCAAGTCCCTGTAACACAGTAATAAGAGTGTATAACCTTTTAATTATTAACTTAGAAATCAACACTGTATATTTCTTTAATTTTCAAAGACTGGGCATTTGCTCAGTCTTTGAAATTTACAGATTGTTATTTTGATATAGGAGCTGTATTATTATCAATGTTTTCCTGTCTATAAAATGGTGTTTATTTATTTCCTCATTTCTATACTTCTCTAGTCCAAATTACTTCAGTCCCTAAAGCAACATTGTTAAGTAAGTTTCCAGTTCCATGATTCAATATGAGTCAATATTAAGTTTCCAGTTCCATGATTCAATGTATAGCTTTGTGTCTTTAAATGAGTATGAATATTATCTTGAACTGATGTTTAAATCAGTTATATATATATTCTAATATTTAAAATATAAAACACAACTCCTTACTTAAGTAAATTATCCATGACTGAAAGCAAATATACATGCCTCGGGATATTGTTAAAGGATCCAATCTAGCATCTAGAGAGAAGTTCCCTGAAGATGGGCTCCAACACAAGTCCGAAAGCTCGGAGTACAAAAACTCTGGTCCTGGTGAGAGACCAGATTGGATCCTGCAATCTACCTGCAGATTAGAAATGATTCCTATTGGATTTGTGTATGCTGTTGCTACATCTGGTCCAGAATTATCTTTTAAATGAAAACCATGTTTCCCATGAAAAACATTGGGTAATTTTTTAGTTTCTGGATTCATAATTATGTTATGTTGTCATTTGTTTAACAATTGTTTCAACAAGTTACACTTGCCTAGCTTTGCACGACACACATTAAGTCATAAACTATAACATGCCAACTACAAAAACAGGCTTCAGGCATCATTCCAAGCTAAGCCCAAACAAATCACAAATTGTAATAACATTAGTGTGTTATATGACTTTAGCCAGTATGTAAGTTCTTAACCAAGTATGAGGTGGTTGTTGTGGATGTTTAGCTATCCCACATTCTTTTTTCAGACATTCCCATTTACCTAAGCATTTTGGCATAAAAATTACCCTAACACCAGACTGCTTTTAAATTGAATTATTTTTCTTTTTTTAAGGAACTTTATTTTCTTTTTTAAAATGTATTTTTTTTAAAAAAATCTGTTTTTTATTATGGTTATGAAAGACCCTTTCTTCCCTTTTTTAAGGTGCTTTGGGTGCCTTTGGGAGGAAAAGTGAATAAATGTATTAACTATTATTTCTGAATGAGAAAGACTAATTGGGCAGGTGCTAAGAAAGTCAAGCATTTAAGTTAAGAATAGCTATAGAATGTAGAGAACATGTTCATCAATACCATCTTTGTCAATTTGAAGGTATGGATAAATATATTTTAGAATAGCTATGTGTACTGTACCTTAAAGTCATTCCTCCTATTTTCAGTTTCTTTTACAGAAGATGAGAAAGAACAATTAAGAAAATTCACTAACAGGACGTTCCTGCTTGATAAAAGAGCCAGCCAACAAGTCTATCTGAGCTTAATTGATATACTTTTAGCATATTGCTATGAGGTCTGTGCCACTGAAGGAGAAAATAATGTGAGTTAGTCTTTCTTCTCTTCACCTGCTTCACAGTATAGTATTCTAGTTAAGTGGCTCCATCATGAAAACTATAGAGAGCTACTCTGTAATTTGGGAGGCTTAGCTCTTAAACTAGACTTTGTTCTTTGCTAAAGTACAGAACTGCAGGGTATTATCATTAGATAGTTTGCTGTGCGAAGTAATGAACAGGAGATTAAATCTTGGTTCTGACAGGTATGCTGAACTAAGTTTAGCAGAAGAGAAAATGGAGGGGGGATTTGGAGAGAAAATTCTGCTCGAATGTGTATTGAAAAAGTATAGACGTATTTTAGGAACACCAGTTGATGGCATTCATATAAATAAACTAGGACTTCCATTATGAATGAAACAAGCAGATCAGTCCAAGAATACTATAGGTAGACCTCAAGTTATTATCATAATTGAGCCCAAAATTTTCTTTGCTAAGTGAGGCAGTTGTTAATTAAGTTGATTGGCTTTGCTTGTTGGAAGCAGGCTGGGAAGGTTACAAATGGTAATCACATGATTCTGGGACAGTGCAGGTATCATAAATACATGCCAGTTGCCAATGCCCGAGTTTTGATCATGTGGCCATGGGGATGCTGCAACAGTTATAAGTGTGAAAACCAATCATCATTCACTTCTTTCAGTGCCGTTGTAACTTCAAACAATCACTAAAAGAAGGATTGTGAGTTGAAGACTGCCTGTATTTGATGCATTCATTATGGAGTTCCCAGTTCAGAGTATATACAAGATAAATAAAAATTAAAGGATTAGAAATGACAATTAGGAATGTATAGCAATATTGCCTCAAGGGAAGGATACTATAAATATATTACAGCACTAGTAGTATAAAGAATTTTTTTTCTTCCGAGATTTTAGTTCAATAAGCAAAACAAAGCATAAGGCAAGGGTCTTTAAACTTGGCAAAACACCTTGCCAAGTAAACTACAGCAGCTTGTCCAGGCAGAGACTGAAAACTTACTTCAATCCCCTCCCCTCCCAGCAAAGCATAATTGTATTCCATTTTATGTTCACATAATACAAGGGTCCCATTTTCCAGCCTCTACAACTCCATTCTCCCTATGTGTGGAGTAAGTTTTTGTAAGGTAAGGGGCTCAAGATTTCCCATAGTATTTATTAAAGGAACTGATCCTTAAGGAAGACTTAGACTTAGAATAACTTTATTATAACTTTGAATGTACACTAATCGGCATACGTTAAAATGAAATTTTATTTTAACATATCCTGATTCGGATTTATTCCTTCATCAATTTGATTTTTTCCCCTATTTGGAGAAAAAAATGACTTGGAGTACTCATTTTTACCTTTGATCACCTCCCCCAAATGTTCAATCCTACGAACCTTGCAAGCCCCAGTTACAGAAAATAGAATAGCATAACAGAGTTGGAAGGGACCTTGTCACCAACCGGTGGGCCACGGCCCACTGGTGGTCCGTGAGAAAATTTTGGTGGTCTGCAGAGAAATGTCACCCCCAGAGCACCCCCCCAAAGTAATTAATCCAGGCTGCACAGGAACACAAAGCTGTGCCACCCTCATGGCCTGCGGGAACCCTCCCGCTCATTCACTCCTTACCTGGCAAACTTGCCAGCTAAGTTGCTATTTTTCTTTTTTCCTGACCACCACCTGTTCTGCTGTGCCAAGAGATTTAGATTGGCTAGAAAGCAAGAAATCACAGAGCTGAGCCTGAAGCTTCTATTATTCAGTGCAGACTCAGGTAGCTGATTGCAGAAACACAGATCTTTAAGTGAATCTGTGATTCTGTGAGCAACTCAATCTGCCTACCTGTTCTGCCTGATTTTGGGTAAAAGTTGCTCTTTTTTTTATAAAAAATTCAATAATTACATACATGGTGTGTTGTAAGTTATTATGTGAGTTTGCTTGCCAGCAAATTGTATGTGACAGACTCAGGTAGCTCATGGCAGAAAGATAGATCTCTGAATGAATCTGTGATTCTGTGAGCAACTCAATCTGCCTTCCTGCTTTGCCTGATTTTGGGTAAAAGTTGCTATAATGATCCAGGGTGAGATACAAAACAAAAATAGTCACAGAAAACAGATGAAACCCCTTTTATTCCTTTAGTTTGCTTCCAAGCTCCGAATATCTTTGATGGAAAACAAAAAAAAACTCCCACACAGTAACACGAATAAGGAAAAAAGCAACACAAAAGAGAGGAACTATAAACTAGAGATATTTACATGATTTGTTTTCAGCATTTGCCAGTACGCAGGTCCAAACTCTTATTCAGTTTCACACCTGCAGCCCATGAAGAGGATCAAGGCCCTCTCCTCCCGAGGAGACCACGTCTCTCACTTATTCTCTCCTCCCTGCGTGCCCTAGGATGGAGAGGGGATGGGCCTGGGTCCTCCTCTGACTGCTCAGACGGCCTCTGCCCTTTCCCCAGCTTCCTCCACAACCTCCGGAGCCACACTTCACTCCCTGTTGGCTATTCCTCCTCTCCCTCAGAGTCAGTCTCCATCAGGGGCATGACACGTGCTCTTTTTTTAAATAAAAAATTCAATATTTACATAAATATTTATAATATTTACATACAAGCCATGCCTAGCCAGTCAAATGACCACCAAGCCATACCCACAAATTAGGCCATGCCCACAGAACCAGTTGTTAAGAAATTTGAATCCCACTCCTGCGTGTGTGTGTGTGTGAGAGAGAGAGAGGTTAGATCAAATCTCTCTCTCTCTCTCTCTCTCTCTCCCCCCCCCCCCTCCCACCAATGTCAACAAGCCACCATCACTCAAAATTCATATTAGTGGTCCCCGGGATTTAAAATTATGAGTTTGGTGGTCCCTGAGATCCAAAAGGTTGGCGATCCCTGTTCTAGTCCAACTCCCTGCTTAGGCAGGAAACCTACACTACTTCAGACAAATGGTTATCCAATCTCTTCTTAAAAACTTCCGTTGTTGGAACATTCATAACTTTTGGAAGCAAGTTGTTCCACTGCTTAATTGTTCTGTCAGGAAATTTCTTCTTAGTTACTTCTGTCCTTGATTAGGTTCTCAAAATTTCATTACCCCAGAGTACCACTTTTCTACCACAGTGATATAAATGCTTACTCCAACTTCTTACTGTACATGGTAGTTTCCATAGCTGCTTCTATGTACTCTGCATTCTTTAATAACGCTAAAAACATCTTTAAGTCTATGACATATTCAATATCAAATAAAAAAATGTTTTGGGGTAAATATGGAAGATAAGAAATGAGTGGTGTTGAACTTTTCACATTTTAAAAAATTCTTCCAAAAGGGTATGAGATCACATTGCTAATAGCTAAAATAATTTAGAATGTCTGACATTCCTCTGTTTTCTAATTATTTATTTTTTAAAAAACTTGTCCTGTAAAATTCTCTTCAAACATGTGGGCCTTAGAAGAAAACTAACAAGCTCAAAGAATGTAGGAGATTATTGAAAATTATTTTAATTACAGTTTGACTTTATTTTAGCAATAGCCATATCCCCAGGATTGTCATAAATGTTATCTTTTCTTAAGCTCCATTTATAGAATTATGTTATACATGACTTCTCTATATCCTTCTCTTTAAGGTTGAGTCACCATGGAACATACGAAAATTGAGCTCAACTTTATGCTGGTTGGAGGTAAAATAATTATATAAACTTTCTAAAGAAAATACACTTTAGATATATGTGTAGAAATTTCTTAAAAAGCATGATAGTTATATTCTGAAATTTTTCAGGTAATTGTTCTGATCAAGGCTTATTGAGACACTAACAAACACACGTTAGTCCCAAACCCCTTTTTTCTTTATTTCAAGGGCTGTGAAGTTTAATCATCACAGCCCATAATGTGTCTCAAACAGTTTTTAAATAGTCCCATGGAAGTCTGTGAAAGTCCTTCAGGATGAATCTGATAAGCACGCACCTTTATCTTCCTTGAAATGCTGCCAACAACTACATTTTCAGTTAGTTATACAAGGCCAACCGGAGCACAAATTAAACACAGAGCTTCAGGTTTCAAACCGACCAGTATGAACAAAGATGCTTTCTGCAAAGGTTCATGTCCCTTTGTTCCTCCTTTATGTCTTATGGGAGGGCCAATCACCTCCAAGCCTTACTCCCAAGTTGCCCCTTTTGTCTTAACTGTTCTTGCTTTCTGGCAGCTCTGTGCATGTAGGCACGCACTGGGAATAGGCTCCCTTTGTTCCTCTGCCTTGCTGCTATCAGATTCTGGAGGCTCCAGAGTCAGCACATAACTCTCAGATGGCCTTGGCCCCATGTCTGTATCAAACACTCTGTATCAGGCAACTTTTAAAAACAAATCTCTTATAACCATTTTTTTTTTATCTTTCATGCAGACTTTTACTAGCATTTCGGAAGTCCTTACATCCTTTGGAAGAAGAGTTTTGTGCTACCCACTTTATAGACACTTCGGTTTAGTGATACGAGCCTTGAATGATACGATAATGATATTGAAATTAGGTAAGATAATGTGTTTTTATTAAATGGTTTTGAGTTGAAAGTTACATCTATATTTTAGATACTTCAGAGATAAGGCTTGTTGGGAGGTGGGATGCTTATGTGGGTTGGTTGAAGGTTGCTGTCTCTGGGTAGATATCTGGATGATTTGGATTTTGAGGGGTTCGTAGGCTGATTGTAGGTCAGTTCGTCTCTTGATGGAATTGCTTTTGGAGTGCCAGACTTCAATGAACTCACGAGTGTGGCGAATGGTAGCATGGGCGATGATTTTTGTATTGCTCCACTTGAACTAGTGTTGTTGATAAATAAGTGGACCAGAAGGGTTGCAGGAGAAACTGTTTCTATCTGGTTTACCCAACACTTAGAATTTTTTGAAGAGTAGACATCTTTGAAATGTGTCTGTGTATATAACACAGGTTGAGGTATAAAACCAGTTTCAAGTCCCCAATTATTTGACAAATCCTTCAGAGTTAAATTTGGGCCTGATAAGAGTAGATATAGAAATAGTACAGGTGAAACTCGAAAAATTAGAATATCGTGCAAAAGCTCATTTATTTCAGTAATGCAATTTAAAAGGTGAACCTAATATATGAGATAGACTTATTACATGCAAAGCAAGATAGTTCAAGCTGTGATGTGTCATAATTGAAATGATTATGGCTTATAGCTCATGAAAACCCCAAATCCACAATCTCAGAAAATTAGAATATTGTGAAAAGGTTCAATATTCTAGGCTCAAAGTGTCCCACTCTAATCAGCTAATTAAGCCATAACACCTGCAAAGGGTTCCTGAGCCTTTAAATAGTCTCTCAATCTGGTTCAGTAGGAAGCACAATCATAGGAAAGACTGATGACCTGACAGTTGCACAGAAAACATAATTGACACCCTTCATAAGAAGGGAAAGCCTCAACAGGTAATTGCAAAAGAAGTTGGATGTTCCCAAAGTGCTGTATCAAAGCACATTAATAGAAAGTTATGTGGAAGGGAAAAGTGTGGAAGAAAAAGGTGCACAAGCAGCAGGGATGACCGCAGCCTGGAGAGGATTGTCAGGAAAAGGCCATTCAAAAGTGTTGGGGACTTTCACAAGGAGTGGACTGAGGCTGGAGTCAGTGCATCAAGAGCCACCACAGACAGATGGATCCTGGACATGGGCTTCAAATGTCGTATTGCTCTTGTCAAGCCGCTCCTGAACAACAAACAACGTCAGAAGCGTCTTATCTGGGCTAAAGAAAAACAGAACTGGTTGCTCAGTGGTCCAAAATCCTCTTTTCTGATGAGAGCAATTTTTGCATCTCATTTGGAAACAAAGGACCCAGAGTCTGGAGGAAGAATAGAGAGGCACATACTGCAAGATGCTTGAAGTCTAGTGTGAAATTTCCACAGTCTGTGTTGATTTGGGAAGCCATGTCATCTGCTGATGTTGATCCACTGTGCTTCATTAAGTCCAGGGTCAATGCAGCCGTCTACCAGGAGATTTTGGAGCACTTCATGCTTCCTTCCTCAGACGAGCTTTATGGGGATGCTGACTTCATTTTCCAGCAGGACTTGGCACCTGCCCACACTGCCAAAAGCACCCAAACCTGGTTCTATGACCATGGGATTACTGTGCTTGATTGGTTAGCAAACTAGCCTGACCTGAACCCCACAGAGAATCTATGTGGCATTGCCAAGAGAAAGATGAGAGACATGAGACCCAACAATGCAGAAGAGCTGAAGGCTGCTATTGAAGCATCCTGATCTTTCATAACACCTTAGCAGTACCACAGGCTGATAGCTTCCATGCCATGCCGCATTGAGGCAATAATTGCTGCAAAAGGGGCCCAAACCAGGTACTGAGTACATATGCATGCTTATACTTTTCAGAGGTCTGAATTGTTCTATGTACAATCCTTGTTTTATTGATTGCATGTAATATTCTAATTTTCTGAGATTGTGGATCTGACACATCACAGCTTGAACTATCTTGCTTTGCATGTAATGAGTCTATCTCATATATTAGTTTCACCTTTTAAGTTGCATTACTGAAATAAATGAACTTTTGCACGATATTCTAATTTTTCAAGTTTCACCTGTAGGTATAATAGTTTCACAGTGAAACAAAAAGTAACACATGCTGTATGTTTGAAGGAGAGAGAAACAATTTTTGCCTATAGTATAGAAGAGTGTTCAAATATTTATATTAATTTGTCTGCAGATGACCCATATATTTAATTTCTTATCTATTTATCTGGGTTGACAGAAAATTTCATAAAAGATTCTAGCTGGTTGTCATTCAGAATTGATTGCAGAGCAAAAGTTATCCTTCCCTTCACAGCTAGCATGTGAAACTGCAAAGAAGAATAGTATATATCCTTCCCACTGGCGAACCACTTATCAAAAGTGATTTTTTTTAGCCAGTAAATGTCCTTTTGATAGACGAGAGATTTTTGGATGAGTAACATTACCATTTGTATAGGAGGCTGTATAAATGCATATTTAAAGCATAATGTGTCATTTTTATGATAAAATTCTGAAAATGTTACTGAAAGCCTTTTTAGAATACCTGTAAATGACCATGGAACAAAACTTTTTGTTGGATAGATTAGGTAAAACCAAACATCCCTGTATCCCCTGGAGTTGTCTAGCCTCTCTACTCATTAAAAATGTTTAGCAGTTTTAAAGTCAACATGAAACTTGTTTAATTTCTTTCCATATTACCAGATGCTTTCATTTGAATGTCTCAGGTTACCAAGGAAACTATTGTAAGATGACATGTGATTGGCTCAGTTGGATCATTGTTCGTGTTATGAATGGAATTGAAATAACTTAGGCTGCTCTTAAGCAAATAGTTAACAGGAGTGAATTTTCAGCTTTTACACTTGGTATGTGATTATATTATGGATTTCAGAAGAATTGAGGCAAATAATAAAACATTATTTGACAATATGAGTGAATATGAATTGTTGTAGTAATAGGGACTACCAAATATTATTTAAAATAAAATATAAGTAAGTCTTGCTATATCATTATTTGGTACTAGTTTTCTGGTACTTATGAGATAAAAACCTGTTCACCTTTATTTGCCATCGGAAGAAAAAGGCTTCTGACATAGAAGAGCAAAACATATTAACAACAAAGCGAGCACAGATATTTAAAGAAAATTGGGAGATATGAAACTTTTTTTCATTTTTCAACAAGAATTTTTTAGAATATATATGTGTGTGTGTGTGTGTGTGTGTGTGTGTGTGTGTGTGTGTGTGTGTATATATGTATATATATATGTGGCATTCAGCTTTGTTCGGGTATTTTTCCACGTCATTGTAGTTGTACTTTTAAAGTTGTAGCAACGTTTCGGCAGAATCTCATCTGCCATCATCAGGCTTCTGTATTGTGTTCGTCTGTGAGTCAGACTTTTACAGTGGTTTCAGATTTAAATTTGGGGATAGCCTATTGCTGTGCCAGAATGTTTTTTTCTTCATCCTGATTGGTTGGGAGTCTTGGTCTGTGCTTATTGGTCTTGGAGTTTGCTGTGTTCTGCTTGATTGGTGTTTCTAATATCTTCTGTCTGTTTTGTGGCTCTTTTTGTGTCTTGATTGGCTGGCAACATTGTGTTCCTTTATTGGAGGCCTTTAGTGCAGCTTGGCTCCGAGTAAATGGATGGCTATCATTAGTTAGAAAGCTAGGTTTCATCTGGGTGCCTGGTTGGGGTGTGTTTGAGCTGGAGGTATCAGGGGGGATCTGTTTGTGCCCAGGTGTTTGCCTGGCTAGTAGTGTGGAGATTTTTTTGTTTGTGGGTGCAGGCTTCCAAATGATTGACAGTCTGGTGGAATCATCTCTTCTATTCATGCTTTCAGGTCTTTTTTCAATCTCTAGGGCTTCTCTGATGATTCTATAGCTGGGGTTTTCTATAGTGGCTAGGGTTTTGGTGCCATTGAAGTTGATGCTATGACCTGTGGCTTTCATGTGTTGGACTAGTGAGGAAGTGTGTTCCAGCTTTTTTACTGCATTTTTGTGTTCATCCAGGCGGGTACTAATTCTTCTATTGGTCTGTCCAATGTATGTGGCTGGGCATGATGCACAGGGAACTTCGTATATGCCTTGGTTTTCCAGGTCAATTTTATCTTTGGGGTTTCTAGGGATGGCTGCTATTTTTCTGTCTGTTTTGAAGGCAGTCTTGATGTGATGCCTGTGTAGTATCTTATTGATTTTGTCTGTAGTACCTCTTATGTAGGGCAGGACAGCTGTTCCATAGGTCTGTTCATCTTCTAGGTCTCCATTATGTCTCAGTGTGTTTTTGTGGATCAAGCCGGTGATTTTGTTTTTGTGGAAGCCATTGGCTGTCAGTACTTTAGTCAGAGTGCATAGTTCAGTCTTTATGTGTCTTGTCTGCCAGGCGTTTGGTTCTGGTAATTAGTGTTTTGACCACGGAGTTTTATCTGTGCTGGGTGGTGGTGGGATTGGGTGTTGAGGTAGCGGTTGGTGTGTGTTTTCTTCTGGTATATGGTGTGTCCTAGTGTGCCATCTGTTTTTTTGTAGATTAGTACATCTAGGAATGGTAGTTGTTTGTTTTTTTCCGTTTCCATGGTGAACTTGATTTTGGGGTGTGTGCTGTTTAGGTGTGTTAGGAAATTGTTTAGGTTTTCTTTTCCATGGGGCCAAATCACAAATGTGTCATCGATGTATCTTAACCATGGTTTGGGTTTGTGGGTGGCATTAGCCAGGGTTCTGGATTCGAATTCTTCCATGAACAGGTTTGCAATGATGGGTGACAGTGGTGATCCCATAGGGGCTCCTTCAATTTGCTTGTATCTTTGTGCTTTGTATATGAAATATATGTTGGTTAAGCAGTGTTCTGTTAGTTCCATGAGGTGTTTAGCTGGTTGGTATTTATTTTTGATGATTTCAAGAGTTTCTTTTATCGGGTCTTGAGTGAATAGTGAAACCACGTCGAAACTTACAAGCAGATCTTCTTGCTCCACGTGTAGAGAAGTGATTTTGCATGTAACATTAACAATTGAAAGCTTTAAAAAAAAGTGGGTGATATTGTTACACTAAATATAGATGCCAGTCAGGTTAAGAGAGAATCTTGTTTGTACCTACAATTGGTCACAGAGCTTGTAATTGTTCACTGCCCCGGAATCTTAGCTGTGATTCTTTTGCCTTTTTCTTTTTGCATTTGCTCTGTATCCTATGATAGGAAAGATGGGGGTGGAAGAATGGGACAGATCTCATTTACAATTAACGATTTCCCCTGGAATTTTTAAAACAATTTAAATATTTGAGTAGTTGTGGCTACTTTCCATATAAAATGATAAATTGATAATTTTAATTATATGAATTAATATTTTCTTTCCTCTTCCAGGTAAAAGTGCTGTTTTGAAGTGTCTGCTAGATATTCACAAGATTTTTCGGGAGAATGATCCTGCATATATTCTCAATGACCTTTACATCACAGATTACTGCATTTGGATTCAAAAAGCTAAGTGAGTTCTAAATCTGTAGTTCTTTTTATGATTGTGGGTGTTTTATTTTGTAGAAAAGTAGTAAAAAGGTCCGCTTAAAGTATACTTATTATGTACACCACAGTGTGAAATTGAAACTGCTAATCTTTCAACTGGAGTTGGCCTTCATACACATTAAGTTCTACCCAAAGAATGTCATAATATATTGGCATAGTGTATGGGTGGATCCAAGCAGTACAGCCTTTTGTAATTGACAGATTATTATAGTTGGTCACAAAATCAGACAGCAGTTTAGACTGGACTTAGCATTTTTATCCACTTCTTCCCAAGGACCTGAGTTAGGCAGATGTTGTTGATAATAGTGTTAAAGATATTATCACAGAACATAGGTAATTCCAAGTAAAGTTGCTTTTTTCAATTGACTGATTTTGGTGATTGACTGAAGTGCTATAGTTGGTTTGGAATTGCACCAAGGTTCCTATTACTTTTTTATTTTGCTTTCTTGCCAGTCATTCTACTTCTATTTGCAAATCTATGTATGTTTTTATTGTTTTTGAGTTTTTACTTCTATTGTGCTTTACCCAATATTGTAACATCCACTATCCAGACTTTTTTGTCTTTCTTTTTTGTCTTTCTTATCTACAATTGTTAAGTGTTGCTTGCAGATGCTTGTCTGTTTGAATTCTAAGAGTACTTTAGTTTCTTCAATTTCTATGTGTTGGTTTTGTGTTCCCACCAGTTTTTGCTTGCAAGGCAAATGATATTTCTTGCAGATTTTCCAATACATCATTGTTGCTATTTTGTCATGTTGTTGTTTGTAGTCATTGTTTAAATTGTACTCTACTCTGAGGGATATGGGTGGTTAAGAAGTGTGGAATATAGATAAATAAATTATTATACACACACACACACACACACACAGACGAAGGTAAAATCACAGCTGCAAGTTCTTTAGCCGTTGTTGGTTTTTATCCTGCATAATTCAAGGGGACAAACATTCCAAATACATCGAACCTGGGATTCTATTTCTATACATTTCTGCTTTCAGAGCCTTTCAAGTCCTGATATTCCTAGAAGGAAAACATAAATATTATTGAATTCTATGTAAATCACAGGGCTCTCTTTTATACATGTTTCAAGAAATTGCGGATCGTATCCCCACATTCATACATATGCTCAATTATGATAGAAAGTTAAATAGATTAATAGCAAGATGGTCAGATAATCTGCCATACTGAAATAAAACAGCATCATCCTTTTTCTGTTTACAGAAGAAGAGCCTGTTTGGCCTAGTTATTAAGGCTCCAGGCTAGAAACCAGGAGACTGTGAGTTCTAGTCCTGCCTTAGGCATAAAAGTTGGCTAGGTGATCTTGGCCCAGTTACTCTGTCTCAGCCCAATTCATCTCAGAGGGTTGTTGTGGGGAAAATAGGAGCATTAATTGGTATTAGATATGTTTACTGCCTTCAGTTATTTATAAAAATAATAAAGGTAGGATTGAAAAATATCATTAAAAACCCACTAGAATTTTGCTGTTCACTAGACTCATTGCAATGTTTAAATTAGAAAGATGATTTAAATTTTAGTTATTTAACATATCAGTTATGTCCTGGTTTTAAAATTGCATTGGTTTGTTAAGTAATTGAGTATCAATATGTGGATAAGCAGGATTGACTATGCAAATAAAGCTATGTTGTCATGAAGCTATTTATCCTCAGTACATCTAGGGAAAATAAATGAATAAATAAATGATAAGCTTTGAGAGATACTCATTTTTTTAAAAAAAAAACTCTTTTCTTGTGGAGTTTAAATTTTAGGTACAAAATTGCATTTTTTACCCCTTCCAAGAATCCAGTTTAACATGTTTTCCATATATAACATTACTGATGAGGAAGCAGGAGTAAGACAAGGCTGCTAATATGTCCTTTAACTACTGCTTTCCTTGTCCCTGGTATCACTACAGTATAATCAATGTTTGCCTTAGTTGCGAAACATTCTGCTGTGCTTCCCTCATGATTATATGTAGGAGTGTTAGAAACGTGAGCTATTATTAAGGTACTTATTACATGCATTTGAGATATAAATTGCATAAAATAAGCACTTTAGCACAATGGATAAGTTTCCTTTCTCAGCCTAGATATGTAGGGTACTATAAAAGCCCTTGATGTAGTATCACCCCTTTGAGGTAGGCCAAGACAGAAAACAGGTTGCTCAATAATAATTGGAAGTTATCTTTATTGATCTAAGATAACAGAATCTCAAAAGACTGGCTGATTTTCCTTCTTTCCCTTTCTCATACCCCAGGGAATAGCAGGTAGTTAGTTTGAGTTTCTAATGCTTTCTTCTTTTGTTGGGCTTAAAACATTTTTGTAACTGTCTCTGTATAGCAAGTCTAAGGATATCTTTGTGGCTTTCCAAATATAAGATTCACTTGCACAATAGTAAGTTGCCACGCCCTAGGTTATGATCCCAGCTTCTTGGAAGAACATTGTGCCCACAAATTCTGAAGTGCTATTGACACTTGGCATCCATCATGCCCCATCTGATATCTTTGGAATAAAACAAACAGGAAGCTCCCATGAGCCATGGTGGCACAATAGTTAGAGTGTAATACTGCAGGCTACTTCTGCTGACTGCTGGCTACCTGCAAGTTTGGCAATTCAAATCTCACCAGGCTCAAGGTTGACTCAACCTTCCATCCTTCCATGGGTAAAATGAAGACCTAAATTGTTGGAGGCAATATGCTGACTCTGTAAACTGCTTAGAGAGGGCTGTAAAACACTCTAAAGTGGTATATAAGTCTAAGTGCTATTGCTGTGCCACAAATGGAAATTAGTTTCAAACGCAGTTCTTTATTCTCAAGAAATTCTCCGCAGGTAGTAATACCTGGCTTACCTTTTCTGACGTAAAGGAAACTAAGCAAAGTTAGTGTCCCATCCTAGAACTAACTAACAGGGAATTCCAGGGTTAAAGGCTAGATTAGAATGCTGCATTTTAAAAAATCTCAGAAGACAGGCAATAAATCATTTAAATGTTTTTGCTAACAATACTACATTGATGTGTCCAGTCACTGAGAATTAAACTCAATGTGAGATGCACAAAAAGAAAACTTATTTTCAATCACGCTTCCAAACTGCATGTGTGCCAAAGCTGTTCTCAAAAATAAATAAATAGACTGATGCTGATTGTTCTCATTGAAAGTGTGCCCAAAGGAGCTTGAAGAAGGATAAAAGCAAATTGGGATGAGGAAGCTGCCTGAGAAAGGATAAGAAGGATCAACTTTTTCTTCTGATAAATTGATATTTTGGGAAAATGCTCATGATATTCTCCAAAATCTTAATATTGGCTCACTAGTTCAAACATTGAGGGACCCCATATTAAATAAAACATTAGTGAAGCGTCTTCTGTTGCCTGGAAAAACCTGCAGAATGGATGTTTTTTATCAGTTTATTACCGGTAGTTCCTGATAAGTTAGAATTTAAAGAACTCCAATACATGAGTTAATGCAACCATAGTAAACTCAATATACTGTGTACTTTTACAGAACAGAAATTAAAATTACTGTTCTTTTAAAACATGCCTGCAGTTTGCAGATATAGAAGACCTCATCATACAAATCAACCAAGGTTTCTTGAAAATCATAAGTAGTTCTAAATAAGTAGTGGCTGAAATCGATTCAGAAAATAATTCAGTAAACTTAATTCAGTCAACTGCCACATGCTCAAAGAACATGTCTAGGAAAAAGACAATTATCAGTGGCCTGTGATGAATTGTATATTTTAGGTTTTTAGTCATTTTTGTGGAAGTTCTTCCAGCTCTTCAGAGAAGCATGAATTCTTGTAGATGAATCCACTTTTCTTCTAAAGGGATTTATTGTTCTAATAAGTGCCCTTTGTGGAAGACACTGCAGTCCCTTTTAGTGCTCTCAATTGAAAAAGGATTAAATTGAAAAGACCTCACTTCTTTATTATCATCCAGCCCAATAGACTAATCATGTCACTGCTCTATTTGTGAGTTGAGAAGGATCATCAAGGGTACATATGGTTATGGATGCTCAAATGGTTCATTTAGTTGTAGACTGCCTATTTCTATTTTCTATTTTATCTTCCCACATCTATTGCCTTTCAAATGTAGTTGAAAATGTTTTCCTATATAGTTTAGAACATCATATTGAGGGAGAGAATTACATTAGATTGTCTGGAAAATGTTATTGCTTAATGCTTATTCTAAATAATTTATAGAACTGTATCTCAATAAGCTTGCACAGTAAGTAGTTTTTAAGCAAAATGTAATAAATCTGCATTAAGTAAATTATATTTCAACCATTTATATGCATTTTTTAGGGAAAATCTGAAGTTAAATTCCTTTCAACCATATTATTGTATATATGTATTTACCAGTCATAGTCTGGATCAGAGGTCTCCAACCTTGGCAACTTTAAGACTCCAACCTTGGCAAAGCTGGCTGAGGAATTCTGGTAGTTGAAGTCCACAAGTCTTAAAGTTGCCAAGGTTGGAGACCCCTGGTCTGGATCATTTCAGGTTGGCTATTATACATCAATGATCCCTAGCCCATGGGTCATAGACGGGCACCAGTCCACAGCCTGCCAGGAACTGGGCTGGGCCAGCAAGGGATGCCCCATCTGCACACGTGTGGGATCCAGGCAGCGTGCGGAAGCACACTCCCCCAGCCCGTGGAAAAATTGCCCTCCACAGAACTGGTCCCTAGTGCCCAAAAGGTTGGGGACCACTGTTATATATGATTTATTACAAGGTTAGTGGCTGCCTAATTTAGCAATCCCAGGCACTTGTTGTTTTGATTTCACTTAGGAATTGGTGGATCTCCCTAAATGGAAAATGCTGAATTCTCCTGAGTTCTTTTTTTTAAAAAAAGATCTCCAGCAGTTACAGACCAAGGCAAAAGCATTAACCAGCATTTTTCAGTTATACAATATGTAGATTTGTGTTTGACAGGGTTAAAAAATAAGCAAATTAAAATATTTTCCCCCTGGAAAGGACCTTT